AGCGAATTCTTCCATTCACCTGCTATGAGCCTTTCCCCATCTTTTCTGCTGCTGCAACAGCTCTCTGTGTAACCTGAGATGGTTCGCCATCATGGACACCCTTCCTTATATCTTCCGGGGCTTTGGACTACCACTCCCATCATCACCACGGCTGGATTTAAAAGGAATCGATTAAAGAGCTCTCAATATTTATATACATAATTCCCTGAACTCAGCCGTCATGCTGCGCCACTTGGCTTTGGAAAGGATGCTTCCAGCAAATCAATATTTATCACGGTGAGGAGGAGAAAGGGGTGAAATTGCAAGCAGGGCTTGCCTTTGCTATGCCTTCTCAAAAGCAACCCAAGAGCAATGCCCAGCACCAACTTCCCATTTCAAAACCAGTCCCTTGGAAACTGCAAAACACTTGTTGTGGATTGTGCCACCCATCAATGGCACCATGTTTTTTTCCCTTGCCACTCTACCCTCAAACAAAGGCTTTGAGAAAGCACCAACAACAAATGCCAGAGACAAAACACCTTTCCCTAAGTCAAATATAATGATATTTGTACAAATGAAGCTTCTCCTGCCAATGARGGGCACAGTTTGGGCAAGGAGGTGAACTATAGGAGGGCCTATAATTTTTCCATGCCCAATCTCATCCACACAATATTCATCCTTGCTGGCAGTAAAAGCAAAATGACCCCCCCCCCATAAGTCAAACTTGATTGTAACTTTTGCAAATGGCACTTCTTGTGCCAATGATGGGCACCATTTGGGAGAAGAAGGCCTAAACATTTCCCATCCYCTCATCGCCCTGAGTCCCCTTGGGGAGAGAGGGTGGGAAATAAATAAAGTGTTATGTTAAGTGCTCTGTTGTGCTATTTCCCCTTGTCAACAGTCAATGCAAAAAGACACCCCAAAAACTCAAGAGGACCTCGGGCACCCAAGAAGAGTGCCCACCACTGAAGATGGTTAAACCTGGAACAAAAATCATGCCAATCCCATACACGATGCCAAGCAAAAGGGAAGGCCCAGGTGATAAAATCTGGTCCCAAGACCTGCAGAAGGGCTCAGCACAGTGATTCTGGCCAACCAAAGGGACTCCATGTTGTAGTTTCTTCTTTCAGTTTGTCCCAAAGATGGAACCTGGTTCTATGGAGAGCTGGAAAAGCAACCTGAGCCAAGAGAAGGAAAGGCCTATTTCCTTTCTCCCATTTGCCCCCCACCCCACCCACCTACCCACCCACAAACAAAGCCTTCCCCCACAGGCCCCCCTGACCTTGCCACGTGATGGAGATGTCGCTCTGATGGGGCCGCAGGCAGAGGTGGCCCATCAGGTTAAGGCACATCTCCCCCATGGAGAGCCGGCAGGCGAGAGCAGGCCTGCAGGAGCAAGCGGCACCAAGGCTTGCTGCGGGGTCCAACTTCAAAAAGAGACTGGCACGCCAGCACTTACTCGGGAGAGAAGAAGGCTCCTGGCTAAGAAGCGTATCCAGAGCCCAAGCAAGCCCTATCCCACCCACTGGCTCCCCAGCATCGGAGTGAGCTGCCCAGCCACTGGAGGTTTTCTTGAGCCTCCGAAGAGTTGGCTGGGCTCCCTCTCCTGAGTCACTGCTGGGTCAGTTTTGATGGCAAGAAATTACTTAGAGAGAGAAAGCATCTCTGAGGCTTTCCTGGCACTGGATCGGGCCAATCTTTGGGTGGCAAGGGAGCAAAGGGGCAGTAGAGCCAGTCCTGCCCACCTCCCCTTGGCCCTGGCCATCTCCTGTTTCCCCCAACTGGGCCTTGGACACTGGAGGATGCCCCTTTGCCCCACTCACCAGGCCAGAGCTGCCTCCAGAAAGCTGCTGGGGCTCCTTCCTCTGCCTCTAGGCTGCTCTGCTCGTCCTTTGGCCTGGCTTTCTCTCTCGCCAGGCTTCCTCCAACCCTCCACTGCCGCTGCCACGCCTGGCTGGCAGAGCGATCCTGGCAGAGAGGGAGGGAGGCAGAGAGGCAGAGAGATGCTGACTTCAGTACCACAGAGAGCCACCAGAAGGAGCTCCATCCACACCATGATTCTTCATTAGCCATCCTTCATTAATGTTATCATTAATTCATTATTATTATTATTTTCCAAATGGGAGTGTTTGTTCCTGATTCTAGAAGTTGGAACTACGTCACCATTGTTCCAGTCATTATTATTATTAATTATTAATAATACTATGAATATTAATGTTATCATTTTCTAAACAGGAGCCATTTGTTCCCGATTCAAGAAGCTGGCACTACGTCAGCACTGTTCCAGCCAAAGCTGCTACTGCTCATAATAATAATAATAATAATAATAATAATATCATTTTCCAAATGGTAGCCATTTGTTCCCGACTCCAGAAGTCGGCACTACATCACCATTGTTCCAGCCAAAGCTGCTACTGCTGCCATTATTTATTATTATTATTATTATTATTATTATTATTATTATTATTATTATTATTATTATTATGGGCCCCCGGTCACGCAATGGGTTAAACCCTTGTGCCGGCAGGACTGAAAACCAACAGGTCGGAGGTTCGAATCCGGGGAGAGTGCGGATGAGCTCCCTCTGTCAGCTCCAGCTCCCTATGCAGGGACATGAGAGAAGCCTTCCGCAAGCATGGTAAACATCAAACATCCGGGTGTCCCCTGGGCAACGTCCCTGCAGACGGCCAATTCTCTCACACCAGAAGTGACTTACAGTTTCTCAAGTTGCTCCTGACACTAAAGAAAAAGTATTATTATTATTGGTTCATATCCTTAAGTGGACACGCGTTTGAATGCTGCCAAGGATGGTTTCCATTCATTGACTGGTACCTCATATTCTCTTGGTGCCGCCTATGCCAAATGGTTCTTACCTGCTTCCTGGCAGCAGCAGCACTGGCACAGCTTCAAATGCTATTGAAGCCCCCCTGACATACCTGCCAGGCTCTGGAGATGTGTTCAAGAATCCCCCAAAGCCCTCCAGCGAGAGAGTCCCGGAGCTGGCAAACAGTGCGTCTGAGCTGCCTCGCTTCCCAGGCTCCGCTCATAAGCCTATGCTGAAAGGTTTAAGCCTGCAATTGGGGGTCATTGAGCCTTAATGCCCCTGGAATCTCACCCAAAACTCAAGCAGGTCACTTAGACAGCCTAGGAGGACGCAGCCCACTTAAACCAACCCCTGTGTGTGTGTGCATGCTTTCAGGTTCATGGGAAACTAGTGGATTTCCTAGAGTTTTCTTAGGCAAGATGTAGTCAAGAGATGGGTTTTGCTGGCACCTTCCTCTGAAATAGAGCCCAGTATTCCTTGTTGGTCTCCCATCCAAAGACGAACCAGTGCTGACCCTGCTTAGCTTCCCAAGAGAATTTCGCAAAACACAACCCAAGCCTTTACACAACACCGTTCTGTATATATAACACGAATCCAACAGCACCGTCTCCTGGCAAAGGAGATTTCTAAAAGACAACAGCTCCCCAATGGCATTGTGCAGTGGGCTTGCTAAGGATAATGAGGATGATGGATGATGTGTACAATGTTATGCCATAATAACTTTTGTTAGTTAGCAAAGGTGGCCCCCAAGTTGTGGCTCAAGCGAGGTTATTTCTGCAGTCATCTGTCTTAATGGAGGAAACGGAGGACAAATGAGGCCCCGAAAGAACCCAAGATGTTAAGAGTTTAGGATTGCCAGCTCTGTGGAGGATGGGATGCCCAATCCTTGGGCAGCAGATGACTTGAAGGAAAAGGAAAACAAAGAAACGACCCAAGATGACAGCATGCAACATTTATTATGAAGGATGGCAAGGCTGAATGTGAAGGCAAACGTGGTTAATGGCATTAGGAAAAGAAGGTGAAATGGATGAATCCTGACATTGAAACGGAAGTACAGCATCAGCGAGATTTGGATGCAGAGTACAAAAGTGACAGCATTTCCAAACAGGCAGAATATATACAACATTATGAAGAAATATATCCAATATTAGAAAAAGGCTGCAAAACGAGATCAAGAGATTGAGAGCAAAGGGACATCAGATCCAGCTTGGCACTACAACTCCCATCATCCCCAACCTGGCTGGCAAAGCAGGCAAATGGCAACCTGATGTAACCCTGGCACCGAATTAGTGGCATTTGCTGTCTAATGCCCACGTCAATGGTGCCCAGGGGGATTTGTAAGACATGACCCACCCCCTGCCACATCCCTGTGCATCTTCCCTGGCATTTGGACACTGCTGCCCACTCTGATGGTTTATTAATCCACATAGTATCCCTCTGAAATCAGCAGGAATGCATCAAAGCGACTCATTTTGAGTGCCAGATGTGGGCAAAACATGGGCTTGAGGATTATCCGCCCCCTTAATCTGTGTTATGACATTGCATGCTGCTGAAAACGGGAGGAACGTGAATGCCTGCAAAGGAAGCAGTGGGGCTGACTGACAGAGGGCAAGGCTCCACCAAAGTAAATGCAAGGAGAGCATGGGGCACCCTCTGCAAAATAAATAAATAAAAGGCACACACTGCTCCATTCAAAGGGAATCGAGAAAGGGAACAACCAACTGGTGGAAGTTTAGTTGGAAAAGGATCCCCTTCAGAGGACAAGGATCCAGGGATCGATGGCGAAGGCTGCTGATGCCCGCCAACTTGGGCACCAAGGAGAACTTAATATCCTGAATCTTTCAAATCGGGACCAAGGCTTCATTCCACCTGGGTCAAATGTAACCCTAGTATCCCAGTGAGACCTTTATGCTACTCAAGGGTGGTACAGTGTCTGCCAGGCAATGAACATTCCAAAAAAGAGTTCCTTGGGGGCTTCCAGGTGAGAGGGGAAGCCATGCTACAAAGGGTCTCACTTTTCAGATTGTCAGGCAAACCTACCCAAGTGTTTTGCACTAGCCCTCACATGGGAGAGCTTTCAGAACTCCAGTAACCACCCCATGCCAAAGAAGCAGCCTATTTGAGAAGGGTCTTTCGTGCGGTGGATCCCCGGAAAGGTCCTGCTGGGCACTGGCCTTGAACCCCCTGCAGACTCTACCTGACTGGTCATGGCGCATGCGGATGGCCTTGGCCTTGGCCAGCTCCAAGGCGGTCACCCAGCGCTGGCGCTCCACTTCCGAGGCGGCCTTTAGGTGGTAGGTGCGGCCCCCATTCGACAGCACGATGTTGCAGGCGTCCTCTGTGTCAATGTGGGCCGTGGAGAGGTTGATGGTGCCCCGGCAGGTGTGTGCCATCTCCGCCTGGGTCCTGCCAAAGCAAGGTGGAAAGGGCATCAGAGCCTTTGGGGAACCACTCCCCAATCCGTATCCATACAACACTCCAAGTCCTTACAGATCATGGTGCTATAACATGGCATGAAACCAAGATCTGCTTTTTGGATTTGGGGGGAGATATGTTCAAACCAGACACAACTGGATCCAGGGAAAGCATGTGTAGGATTTGCATCTGCAGGATACATAGAAGGCCAACACATAGTAGAAGCTATTTCATGATGAGAGCCAACCTGTCCTGAAAATGGAATCTGGTGACCTTATGGGAGAAAAGCAGCATCTATTATTATTATTATTATTATTATTATTATTATTATTATTATTATTATCCCCTTATGTTCTGCCTTTTCTCTCTCAGGAGAGACCCAAATCAACCGTTACCTTGCAGGAGAGAACCAAACCCCTCAGCCTGGACCTAAGGTTTGTGTCTCAAAGGAGCAAACTAGAGGTCACAGAGTAAGCGGCATACTTTTGGCTTTTGAAAAACCAAGCCCTGCTTGCCCACTCCGGATCCTTCTGAAAGGTCCTGCTCTTTGCAAAGGGAGAAACTGCCATCTCTTCTCACAACCCGCCGACTGGAAAGCAGCTTAGCGGAGGCAAAGGATCCAAAGGAAGGTGTTAGAGAAGGCATGGGAAACTTCGGCTCCCCCTCCAGGTGTTTTGGACTTCAACTCCCACAATTCCCAACAGCCTCGAGCCCTTTCCTTTCCCCCCTTAGCCATGGCTGTTAGGAATTGTGGGGGTTGAAGTCCAAAACACCTGGAGGGAGGGTCGAAGTTTGTCCATAACTGGGTCAGAGCATTACTTGCAGTTCTCAACCAAGGCTTCTGTGGCTTCTTTGGGGTTTCAAACCCAGCTGTTGGGGTGAGATAATGACTCCTGTGTCCTTTCCAATGGCATCTAGGCCTAGTTTGGTCCGGCTCTTTGCTTAAGGCTCCTTTGGCTTCCGAAAGACCTCTCGCGGCAGCCAGAACAGGCTCAAGCACTGAACACTCCTGGAGAAGAAAGCCCCAAGGCTGTTCTGTTTATCATGGGAACGATGCCCCAGTTTTCAAACCTGCAAGTAGGGCAAGTGAATAAGAACCACCAACGAATGGAAAAGTGGCCCAGCTTTGCCGAAGAAAAAGGCATCCCAAGGGGGAGCGGTTCAGTTTGTGGGAGAAAGCCCAGCCCTCTTTGCTGAGATTGAGGCTAAAGAGGATAGCGAGAGATGGAATTAGAAAGCAACTGTCACTGCGAGGCACCATTGGGATGCATTTGTTTGCAAAAAGCAAGTGTTTACGTAACCCCTGAAGCCCAATGCAAAGGGGATGAGGTTGGAAAACGCCAGCTGTTTGCAAGAAAGTCTGAGCTGGTCTTGTCTGCTGGGCAGCCAAACAACAGAGCTTTCTTTTCAGGGGGAAAAGGCGGCATTCTTGTCCGTATCCGCCTCACCCTCACCATAAAAAAGGATCTTCCTGACAGTATTGACCCCAGGGTTCAAAAGATGGTTGCTGGTCAATTTAGGACACTGTCACCCTTCCCAACTCCACAAACAGTATGAGCTCCAGAGACAAATGGACTTGGGGACAAAGCAGACATATCAAAGAGATGTAGTTTGACAAGGTCTCAAGCCTTCTCTCCTTTGAGTCCCTAGCCCTGGGCCATGGCGGTTCAACTAGTATCAACTGGCATTCATTGGGTAGTGGAGATCAGTGTTTCCCAAATTCTGGTCTTCCAGGGGGTTTTTGGACTTCATCTCCCATAATCCCTCATCACTTTGAGACCTAAACACCCAAAGGACGAGAGTTTGGGCATCAGTGGGGAGGGCGCAACCTTGGATGCAGAGCGATGAGTTCCAACTGCAAGCAGAAAGATCCTGAAAGATTACAGAGCCCTTCATGGCCTAAAGAGAGTTTTGATGGCCACCAGAAGTGCATTTGAAAGTCCATTTGGAAAGGTAACAGCCGGCCAACTCTTAAGCAGGGCCTATTTCCATCCCCGGCATCCGCCGACACAAATTCCAATCCTGCCTGACCTTTGCATGAACCGAACAAGTGAGAGGCTGACATTTCTCGCAAAGCGTGGCCAAATTGCCCCAATCCGTGCCTCATCATCCCCAGATGATGACAGTCCATTTCCATATTTCAGCTAAACACTAATGGCATTTTCAGGGAGAGAAAGGTCCTGGGTTCAAGGCTCAGCATTTCCTGCAGCAATGTCATCCGAGCAAAGAGGATGGGAAAGAACTCCCATCTTCCTGAATGGATGAACACGATGATAACTGCCGACGCAGGCAAGGAAACAGGGCCAGCCTGGCACCCAAGTAGGCTAAGTTTGTTTGCCATGTTAAGTCTGGCTGACTGGAGGCTTAGTTACATAAGCCAGCGTCGTCTGGGAAGGAAGGAGGATCCCGGGCGTACCATCCCCATCCCTGTCACCATGGCAGCGTGCGTATCTTCCAAGGAAGCGCCCGCCTCGCTGTCAAGCCAGAGGCCACAATTAGAGTAAAAAACATGGGGAAGCATTCGAGAAAGGTTACAACCTGCCCATGAAACAGTCCAGGCTCGGTGGGGAAAAGACTGGGCAGACTGGCTGGGGAATCGGTCGTTTCTTCTTGATTGAGTTTTCCCAAATGAGAGATGCTCGCAGGGAGGGAGGACAATACTCCGAAGCCATAGTTGCCTTTCTTGAAACGCATGAAGTTAAGTCAAGGTTTAGCCACAGGTGAGTGAAAGTTTGAAAGGCAGCCAACAGGATCATCCCATTCTCGCAGCGGAGATATCAAATAGTCCAAGCCAAGGCATATTCGGGTTGCGGCCCCCTTCGTAAGAAGGTTCTGCAAATCCAGCCTGTCCCACTTCAGACCCAAAGATGATAATATGAGCCTTGTCCTTCAGATCCCATCCGTGCAACCTTGTCACTTCCTTTGTCACAAAAGTCCCGCTTCCCATTTGCATTTGATGCCGATGCGACTCGGGCTTTTACGGGATTCTAGGTTTAGACTCCAAACTGAAGCGTCGCTCATTTTGGCTAAGGAAAAAGAAGGCTCTGAATGACACGCCAAGATTGCATGGCACCAAAAGCTCTTGAGTTAAGAGTACTTGTGAGAAAATATACACGGGGAAATAGGGGCAAAGCTATTTGAATAGCTTTGACAGCTTTTGGGGTCTTAATCCTGGGAGAAAGGCAAGGTACTACTACTACTAATAATAATAATAATGCAAACCCTTGGGATTTCAAGAGGAAGATGCATCACCGGAGACAAGACGATGAACTGATGACTCTCTCCTCGGCCTCCAATGCCCCTTTGTGGCACCAACAAAGCTCCTTTGTGGCATCGGGACCCAGCTGACAGGGCACCAAAAGTCCAAATCCGGATTCGACAGGGGGCAAAGCAAAGCACCATGTCACGCCTAGCCAGCCAGTCACTAAGATGGATGCAGTGTGCTGAGCAAAGACCCAAGAAATAAATGGACCCCTGCCACCCTCCTCATGCAGTTCCCACCATCCACATGACATCCCTTGCCATCCCCAGTCCCTCGAGGGGTTAAAAAAGTCTCCAGACCTGGTTTGGGTACTGAGGCAAATGCTGACAAGTCAGCTTGAACCCCTTGTCCCATTGGATGTTCCCTGCCAGCATTTGGAGAGTGCCAAGGCCCATATTTCTTATTATTTAATATTAATAACATATTAATAATGATGATTTATTATTAACATATTAATATATTATTCTCATCATCATGAATATTGTGCTATATTATTGATGCCATATTTATATTATCATTATCAGGAATATAATGATATATAACTAATAACATATTACTCTATTATTCTCATGATTATGAATATTATTAATAATGTATCAATAAGGGTGATATATTATTAATAACATATATTACTATCATGAAATGTTATTGATAACATAGTAATGTATTGTTATCATGATCAAGATTATTAAGAACATATTAATATATCCTTATCATGAATATTAAAATATATTAATAATAACATATAGTATTCTCATTATAATGAATATTAATAACATATTAATAATGATACATTATTAATAACATTAATATGTTACTATCATTATCAGGAATATTATGATATATTAATAACATATTATTCTCATTATCATACATGTTATTAACAGCATATTAATGATATATGATTTATATACATATGTGTTCTACTTATTGTATGTTATATTGTGTCTGTTTTGTTTTTAGGCCGCCCCGAGTCCCTTGGGGGAGATGGTGGTGGGGTATAAGAATGAAGTTGCTGTTATTATTATTATTACTATTATTAACATATCAATATGTTACTACCATTATCAGGTACATATCAACATGTTATTAATAACATCGTAATATATTATTATCATTACCATGAAATTAAGAATAACGTATTAATATGGGTCATATATTCTTAATAACATAGCAATATATTATTATCATGTTCATGAATATGATTAATAACCACATATCAATAAGGGTCATATATTATTCATAACATATTAATATATTATGAATATGAATATATTACTATCATTATCAGGAATATTATGTTATTATATATTATATGTTATTAATGACATAATAATATATGATTCTCATGATCATGAATATTATTAATAATCACATGTTAATAAGGATGATATATTATTAATTTTTATTTATGTATGTATTTGGGAGATTTCTATGCTGCCTTTCTCCAGAACGGACACGAGGCGGCTCACAACATCTTGTAGAACATAAAACCATAGCGAAAAACTGATAAACCACATTAATAACATATTAATATATTACTATCCTTATCAGGAATATTATGTTATTAATAGCATAGTAAGATATGATTCTCATTATTGTGAATATTATGAAATTTTACTATCCTTATCAGGAATACAATACGTTACCAATAACATAGCAATATATCATGATCATGGTTATTATTAATAATACATATTAATAAGGGTGACATATTATTAATAGATTTTTATCGTTATCCTGAATATGAAGTATAGCATATCAAAACGATGACCTATATTATTAATAACAACAATAATATTAAGTATTATTATTATTATTATTATTATTATTGGTATTAAGGTGACACCAAGCCACAGCATCGAAAGGGCAAGGGCCCTGCTTTCCTTCCCCTGTAAAACGGGCGGACTACAACTCCCATCGTCCTCTCCTCCAAGACAATGGGAGAGGAGGATAGGCCCTGCAGTACCTGTAGTAGCTGAGCAGCCCGTTGCTGAGGACGAACCAGCGGCGCTGGTAACCCTTCAAGTAGTTGGTCCACTTGAAGAGCCAGCCCTTGTAGGTGTCGGCGGCGGAGGCCGGGCCCTCGCAGGGCGGAGGAGGAGGAGGCCCCAGGCTCATGGCCGAAGCGAGAGGGCCCAGGCGGGGCTTGGCCTTGCGCGACAGGCAAGCGGCGGCGCCCAGCAGCGAGAGCAGCCCGCGGGGGACGGCGCCACACAACGGCGCGGCCGCCTTCCCCATAAGGCTCCCTCCCGCGTCTGGGTGCCTCAGCGCGGCGGCGGAGGGCGGGGCCCGAGCCAGGGGGCGGGGCCTGGGGGGGGGCTCCGCCAAGACACGCCCCTCCTCAGCCTTATCCCAACGTAGAGCTCTATCAAGGGGAGGGGCCTCTGCCACGACACGCCCCTTCATTCCCCAAGCCAGAGACCTATCAAGGGGAGGGGCCTCCGTAAAGACACGCCCTCCTCAGCCTGAGCGGGGGGGGCTCCGCCAAGACACGCCCCTCCTCAGCCTTATCCCAACGTAGAGCTCTATCAAGGGGAGGGGCCTCTGCCACGACACGCCCCTTCATTCCCCAAGCCAGAGACCTATCAAGGGGAGGGGCCTCCGTAAAGACACGCCCTCCTCAGCCTGAGCCAAACATAAAGCTCCATCAAGGGGAGGAGCCTCCGCCAAGGCACGCCCCTCCTCAGCCTGAGCCCAGCATAGAGCTCTATCAAGGGGAAGGGCCTCCGCCAAGACACGCCCCCCTCAGCCTGAATCAAAGCAGACCTATTAAGGGGAGGGGCCTCTGCCAAGACACGCCCCTCCTCAGCCTGAGTCAAAGCAGACCTATCAAGGGGAGGGGCCTCAGCCAAGACACGCCCCTCCTCAGCCTGAATCAAAGCAGACCTATTAAGGGGAGGGGCCTCAGCCAAGACACGCCCCTCCTCAGCCTGAGTCAAAGCAGACCTATCAAGGGGAGGGGCCTCAGCCAAGACACGCCCCTCCTCAGCCTGAGCCCAGCAGCTCTATCAAGGGGAGGGGCCTCTGCCAAGACACGCCCTCCTCAGCCTGAGTCAAAGCAGACCTATCAAGGGGAGGGGCCTCAGCCAAGACGCGCCCCGCCTCAGCCTGAGCCTGGCATAGAGTTCTAAGAAGGGGAGGGGCCTCCGCCAAGACACGCCCCTTCTCTGCCTGAGCCCAGCATAGAGCTCTATGGCCTCCATAAAGACACGCCCCTTCTCTGCCTGAGCCCAGTATTAAGCCCTATCAAGGGGAGGGGCCTCCATAAAGACACGCCCCGCTATTTCCAAGCCAAACCAAGAGACCTATCAAGGGGAGGTGCCTCCGCCAAGACACGCCCCTTCTCTGTCTGAGCCAAACCAAGATACCTATCAAAGGGAGGGTCCTCCGCCAGAACGAGCCTCTCCTCAGCCTGAGCCCAGCCTAGTCTCTTGCTTTGGCTCGGGCTGAGGAGAGGCGTGTCTTGGCGGAGGCCCCACCCCTTGATAGAACTCTATGCCGGGCTCAGGCTGAGGAGGGACGTGTGTTACCGGAGGGGCCCCTCCTCAGCCTGAGCCCAGCGGAGATGTCTACCAAGAAAGGGGCCACCGCCAAGACACTCCCTCCTCAGCCTGAGCCCAGCATAGAGCTCTATCAAGGGGAGGGGCCTCCATAAAGACACGCCCCTCCTCAGCCTGAGTCAAAGCAAGAGACCTATCAAGGGGAGGGGCCTCCGCCCAGACACTACTCACCACACTGCTCAAGTCTGCAGTCCTCAATAAGAAAAAAATTACAGTAGTTAGCATTAGACTAGGCTGAGGGAATCCCCCCCCCCGCTCCTGAATGTATGTTAATGTATCAGCCGCCCTCTTTGGAGGTTGAGAATAGGACAGGATATAAATGTTCTAAATAAATAATTAAATAAGTAAATCTATTTGTAGGTTGCTGTAAGTTTTTCGGGCCATGTTCCAGAAGCGTTCTCTCCTGGCGTTTTGCCTGCATTTATGGCAGGCATCCTCAGAGGTAGTGAGTGTTGTGGTAAGTCATAGCAGGACCAAGTGTACACGTGTTGAAGAAAAACCTTATGGGGTTAATTAAGTACAGCTGGTAATGTAGGTCAACTAGCAAACTTGGACCACACCCAATGGGGTGTATCTGTATGGGGTTTTTTTAGAATACAGTGTGGGTGGGTGTGGTGGAGAGCTTTTTCGCTGAGGAGATCTATGCTCAAAGGCTTTGCTCTGGGGAGCAGCATGGAGAAGCTACTCTAAAGGAGGCTATGGTGGAATAGCTATTTACTCAAGTTTTATGTTTTGCTCTCTCATTTGATTTAAGATGAAGATGCCTTATTTTGTGTTACTTACAAGGACTGTGTCAATTTCTTGCGCTGTTTGATTTTTGTATGCAACATAACATGTTTATGTTTCATCTCTGCTGAGTAAAGAGTAAACATTTTTTCTGTTCATTTTTCCTCTTGTCTGTGAGTCTATTGCATTTGGACTTTTGGCTGCTGGATAAAATCCGCTGCTGCGCAACAGTGAGGGCTGCAATAGATGCAGGCAAAACATCAGGAGAGAATGCTTCTGGAACATGACCAGACAGCCGGAAAAACTTACAGCAACCCAGTGATTTCAGCCATGAAAGCCTTTGACAATACAATATTTGTTCTCTCTTTCTCCTCCCATTTTCTAACTGAAACCTCATGTTCTTCTGTTTTTTCCACATTTGCATGCAGACCTCTCTCTACACTTGTGTGTTTAAAGAAATGTCGTGCTTGGAGGTTTTTTCCTCTTTTTGAACCTTCGAAGTAATGGAGTTCGAGAGAAGCTTTGACCCAATTCTTTTCCATTAAAAATGTTGTTCTTATATATTTTTTAAATAAACCTTTTTGGTATCTTTCAAGATTGAACTCCGCATCTTTGCCTCATAAGCTCAACAATTCTTTTGCAGCCACAACACTTCTGCTTGCTGTGAGCTGATTGCTCAGTTAAGTATCCTGTTTGTCTTTTTGGATGCTCTGCTATTTTGGGAAGAATCCCCTAACAGGGATTTCAGCTTTCCGCACCCCGGAGAGTTCCCTTCAGCAGCCCTCTTTCAGCCAAACCAGAGTCCGGCCATATTGGTTCAAACTCAAGCCTGGCTTGAGGAAGCCTTAGAAGATGGCTCCTTCCTCAGTGTGACATCTTGCAAACATGGGAACAGAGCTCTCAAGCCTCCTTGTTGCCTTTCCAGACCTTCTGTGGGCACAATGAAGTTGAATCTTGATTTCAAACCTGGCCCGACCAGCGTGGCATAGCATGATGACTCCTATGGAATCACATTGGCCTTTATCACCGCTACATCATACTCTTGGCTCATTGTCCACTGAAACCCCCTAGATCTCTTTCACGGGGACATTGAGAATTGAGAGGGGTTATAGTGAAGAGACATACCACTTCATTCCATGCATTAAATACGACTGGGCCACCCACTTAAGAAACAGTAATCTACTGCATTCATCCCATGACATAGACATGGACTATTTACAGACGTCACATGCAACTCCTAGAACGATTCCATCAGCGTTGCCTCCGAAAAATCCTGCAAATCTCTTGGGAAGACAGCGAGACAAATGTCAGTGTGCTGGAAGAAGCAAAGACCACCAGCATGAAGATGCTCCTCCGCCATCAACTCTCCTGGACGCCACATTGTCCGAATGCCGACCACGTCTCCCAAAGCAGTTGCTCTACTCCGAACTCAAGAACGGAAACAGAATGTTGGGGGACAGGAAAAGAGATTTAAAGATGGGCTCAAAGCCAACCTTAAAAACTCTGGCATAGACACTGAGAACTGGGAAGCCCTGGCCCTTGAGCGCTCCAGCTGGAGGTCAGCTGTGACCAGCAGTGCTGTAGAATTTGAAGCAGGCCTGCAGTGAGGGGGGGTTTAGGGGTTCAACCCCCCCGAAATGTTTCAGATTTTTTTAAAAAAACCTGGTTTACTCATGAATTTTAACTGGTTAACCAAATCCCCCTGCTAAGTCTATGAGATGCAAAAAATCAAGAGTCCCTCCAAACTGCAAGCACTATCTCAAACAAATATTAGCAATTTATTCACACTGTCATTACTTGCAGCAATAGCCGATGTAGTTGTTTTGGTACAGCTGTACCAGGAGCTCCAACTTTATTTGCTTTGTATTAAATGTTTGCTTGCAGTCCTAGGTTTCAGGGACTCTGCAGATAGGTGGCTTCTTTGGTTGCAGTCATAGGGCAAGTCACCTGTCCATCATTGTTAAGTTTTGGTTCCGCCCCTTGCTCAGGGCAATTGGGAAGGGAAGGGAGCCATTTTTAGTTAGTCTCAGCAAGGTAAGCTTATGTACAGAGATGTGTGCAAGCTTCCCCTGTACAAAAGCTTCAACCCTTAAGACCTTCCGGGGGAGAACAGTCTTAAGAGTCTCCAAAGATTTCCAGGAAAACAGCCCTAAAGACCAAAGAACTCCAGCTGGAGAACATCTAAGCCTTTACTGGTAGGTCCACTCGGCGTTCGAGAAGCAGTTCGACCCGGTAGCGGAGCCCACATCAGTAAGGGTTAGATTACAGTCAGCCTGGGAGAAGTTAAAAAGGGGATTTTCCTTTAAAGAAGAAGTTATTGAAGACAGTTGCCTGTCCTTCGGGCAAGATTAGGAATTCACCAGTTGCCTAAAAGCTTGGAATCATTTGCTTAACTTTACTGAAGACAAGAGAAGTTTCTGTTTGATTGTTCATTAATAAAAGACTTTGTTGTACTTCTCAAGCCATCTAAAGACTGTTTGTGGTGGAAACCTCTGAGAATTTCTCTTTAGGCCCCCTGGCTTCCCGCTGGGCAAAGGTTGCACATCCTGTTCTAAAGACAATTATTTACAGGCCCAGCGTGCGACAGAACAGTAGTGAAGCAACCAAGTTGGGGGGGGAGGGTGTTGAATGCTCTCATTAAGGAGGCCAGACTTGGTGGAGGTGGTTGACAGGGGCGGAGCTGCAGGCTATTGAAGGCTGCTCTGCCCCCTGCTGTGCTCTTTGCTTCAGCGTGAGCTAGGAGGCAGGTTTCAAATCCCCCCCCCCGGTGAAATTTTCACACCCCCCCCCCCAAATTTCAACCCCTCCCGAAATTTTTTTCTGGCTACGACCCTGATTTGAAGAGGCACGAATGGAGGGCGAAAGAGAGAAACGTGCCAAGAGGAAGGTGCATCAAGCCAACCCCGACCGGGATCGCCTTCCACCTGGAAACCAATGCCCTCACTGCAAGAGAACATGCAGGTCAAAAATAGGGCTCCACAGTCACCTACGGACCCACCGGCATTACACCGATCTTGGAAGACTATCCTACTTGGACAACGAGTAAGGCTTCAAGTATCGGGTAGTGAAATCTTGGTGTTTCGAAAGGGTTATCTTTTCCAACGCTTTCCAAACTGGTTGGCAAGTGGCTTTTTTTTTTTTTTTTTTTTTTGCAAATTATCTTGATAGAGATGGGCAAAATGGCCAATTCAGTCATGTGATGCTATTCGTCGTTCTCAGCTTTAAAATGATATGGTTATGCAGTTTGTGGGAGGAGCCAAATTGCCCCTTTGAGAAAAAGCTCCACCATTACCTTTTGCTCACAGAGGAAGGAAGATCGGCACTATGTTGTGTTCCTTTTTATCTCATGCACTTTCTGGGGCTTTCCTTCCTTCCTTCTTCTATGTGTTGTGTGTGTCATGTGTTACCTCCTCCTCTCCTTCTTTTCCTCCTTCCTTCTTCTAACATGGGGAAGGAGAGAGAGAGAGAGGAGAGGATCACCAGCAAAGGGAAACCTCCAGGCCCCTCTTCCCCACGTCGTCCTCCTTTGGTTGACCCTAAGGACCATCTAGTCCAACCCCCTTCTTTCTGCCACATAGCAAAAGCACAATCAAGGCACCCCCGACAGATGTACATCCTGTCTCTGAATAATATTTACTTTATTTATTTATTTATTTACTATATTTCTATACCGCTGTTCTCAGCCTGAGGGCGACTCATGGTGGTTTACAATCTATATAAATAAAAATGTAATGTTTGTTTGTGGGATTAACATAACTCAAACCCCACTGGACGAAATGACACCAAATTTGGACACAATACACTTATCAGGTCAACGAGTGACCATCACTTATAAAATACTAGAAAACACAGCAGAGGGGACTTAAAAAGCCAAAAATGCAAAAAGACGCTACAGCACCTGCACAAAATGCCTCCCCCTGGCAAACAAAACACACAATAGCATATCCACACTCTCTTCTGGACTACAGCTCCCAGCATCCCCTAGACCAGGCCCTTTAGGAGAGGAGGATGATCTAAATGCACTGCTTCCAAGCTGCAAGCCTGCTTATCCTTGGATTTCTTTGAGACCATCCAAATCCCTGCATATTTCTAATTTCCTATTCCTGGACTGCAACTCCCAGCAATCCTCCAGATAGATAGATTAGATAGAGATAGGCAGGTAGATAGATGGATCAGAAGAACTGCTGGGAGTTGCAGTCCAAGAATAGGTAGAGACGGAAGAAAGAGGAGAAAAAGGAAGGAAAAGAAAAGCAGGCAGGGAGGGAGGGAAGAGGAAGAGAAGGAAGGAAGAAGGAAAGAAAAAAAGAGAAGGAAGGAGAGAAAGAAAGGAGGAGAGAATGAGGGAGGGAAGGTTGGCCATAGCAACGCATGGCAGGTACAGCTAGTAATAATAATAATAATAATAATAATAATAATAATAATAATAATAATGAAAATACCCATATAATCCGGCATATAAAACAACTGGGCATATAAGACGACCCCCAACCTTTCCAGTTAAAATATAGAGTTTGGGATATGTTCACCGTATAAGACATGTGCACCTGCACCACTTCACTGCAGTCTTCCGGAGTGAGATCTGAGAGGCAGAGGAGGAGGTCAGACAGGTAAAAGAGGTGTGTTTGTCTAGGTCCAGAGCCACTCTTTCTCTTTTTTCCATACCCCGAGTGCCCCAGATGCCTGCAGCTTGCTCCGTCCTTCACTTACAACTTCCTGGTGAGGCGCCCCTTCACCTCACCATCGGGACCACGAATCCTGATGAATGGATTTTCTTCTACTGTACTTGTGCAGCGTCGCCTTTAATGCTTTCATACAGTCGCTGCATACGGCAGGGACACGGCCACTGCCATTTTTGAGCTCCCCCCACCATATGCGGCAACCACAGATTCTCCAATCCGATTGGAAGTTTCAGCACCCGCTCTATAAGACGACTCCTGTGCATAAGACTACTCCTGTGTATAAGACTACTCCAGCGTATAAGACTACTCCAGCGTATAAGACTTCTCCCGTTTATAAGGCTACTCCTGTGTATAAGACTACTCTCGTGTATAAGACGACCCTGACTTTTGAGAAGATTTACTTGGGTCAAAAAGTAGTCTTATACACCAGAATATAAGGTATGTTCCTAGTCTGCAAATATTATTTCCTGTCTTAATAATAAATAATAACTTTATTTGTATAATTCTTGTGTAGTCCTTACTTTGAAAGTAGTTATTGTGCGCCAGAAACTTCTTTTTTCTGCCCACAAACTATGTTAAATTTGCAGAGACTCATTGAGAAACTAGAGCCAAATGTGCTATAACAGGATAATGTCCCTCCTGCAAAGACAAAGCTTTGGCAGTTTAATCAACTTTTTCCATGAGTTTATGACAGAGCCAATTAAGAAATGACATTGATCACCCAGAAACTAAAATCAGACTTCAGGAGAGGAGGTGTTTCTTTTCACAAAGGGACTGTAGGTGAGAACAACTCCCTACAACACGTATAAGCAACCTCCCCCCCCCCCCCCAGGTTTTGGACTTCAACTCCCACAATTCCTAACAGCAGGTAGGTTTTTAGGAATTGTGGGAGTTGAAGTCCAAAATCCCTGGATGAAGGGCCGAAGTTGACCCATGCCTGCTCTACAATGTGATGGCAAATCAACTGAGAACTCCTGAATAAAATGGATAGTTTGCTAGTGTGTGATGGAGGTAGGAAAATTATCCATTTAATTTTGAAACAGAGTATGCCTGAGCTGAATGATAACCTACTCTTCCGAACACCTGACATGTTCAGTGGGATGAAGTCTCTATTTGTTTCCAGGGCCGCAGAAGATTCGCACCCGGAGCTATGGCTCCAAATTACAGGAATACGAGCCCCAGTGAGAACGGGGTGGGGTGGGATTGCTTCCCTCCACTGAGACACTCGACTCCGATTGTGGCAAACTAGACTCACATGGTTTAATGTGGGAGAACATGGTGCTTCGGAGGAGCCACACTCTCTCAGCCGCAACCATCAATGGGGAGGAATGGCACCTAAAGCACGGGAAGAGGCCAACCACTCTCTGATGGCCTCAAAAGCCCTAAGAAGAGGCTTGCTTCCCCCTGGCCTCTTTTGGCAGTGGGGCCTCATTGGGGGCTTCCGCCTTGGCCGCCTTCTCCTCCCATTCACCGAACAAAGCCTTGGCAGGCTCTGGGGCGGGGAAACTGTGCAGATTTTCCGTGGCCTGGGCCCGCTGGTCAATCTTCTCTAGCATGCGCTGGTAGTGCTGGTACTCCTTGCGCCAACGTGCCATCTTCTTCTGCTGGTCATGGAGGAAGGTCTTCCTCATGTGGTCCAGCATGCTTCCCACCTTGCGTTTGCTGTCCTCCAAATGCTGGAGCTTTGGCACAAAGGAGAAAGAGACATCATTAGGACACACTAGACGTTGGAGGAACAGCAGCATCACGCAAAGGCGCATGGAAGGGATGAGGATTCGAACTCACTCTCGGCTGTGCATCACCCCCAATTCCCCTTGCCCTCAGCCTTAAAGGCAATGCCAACCCAAAGAACTCAGAGGAGGAAGTCTCCAAGCATCCCAAGGTGTAATAAGAAATTCAATGTGCAGATTTGAGAAATGTGAATTTAAAAATGATGTGTGTGAATGAATGGAAGAATGGAAGGATGTATGGTTGGAGTTAATAATTTTGGAACCACCAGTATAATATTAAGGCCTGCATGCTGCCTTGTGATTAAAACCCGTTAATGAGATCTGAAGAGTAAACTCTGATAAGAACGGGACAGTGATAAAGGAAATGTTTTCAACCTTCCTTATGTTAAGAAGGAAGTCAACATAAGATCAACACCAATCAAGAAGATCAGCATCTGGCCAGGAAACTGGGATGGATCCAGGATGGAAGATGTCTATCATTAATTTACAACTTTGGGACTACATCAACAGAATTTTCCTATAAAAGACTCAGGCTAATAATGCTCAAATCGTGGCAGACTGAGGAGTCTGTTCCACCCGCCATGCTCTGCTCCATGGGAAGGACAGAGGTGGTGTATTCAGAGAGTGTCAGATATGCTATGGGAAAGCATGATTCTGGACACTTTGGGGCTTCTTTCTCAAGGTAAGAGGAAGAAGTGCACTTTTGGAGTCTTAGATTTTGTGCAGGGAGTCAGGTTCTGCTGTATGGAAAACAGAGGTCTGGTCTTTGGCACTGTTCTTAGGGAAAGAAGTTTTGGCATTTCGGCGTTTTGAAGTTATGGCGTTATGGAGGTTTTGGAACTATGCATTGGCAGGCTGCAGGAAAGCAGGGTCTGGCCTTACAGGTGCATCTCCAAGGAGGGAGAAAAGGATATGGTAATATTTGGATGGATGTGGATGAATGCATGTACATGTGTGTGAATGCTGAGTGAAAATGTAATTCCCCTATGTTTGTTTGTTAACCAATGTAATTGTGAATCCAATGTAGTTACATAGAATCTGCATGTCTGTATGTCCAATGTCATTCTTTGTCTAAATGTTTTTCTGTAATCTGATGTACCTTCTCACACTGGAAATTGCAATAAAAAGAACCTATGCTTCAAAGTTATTGAAAAGTCATTCATGACAAAGGGGCTCTGCTTTCATCAACACATAGATGCAATATTATTTGATAAACAGGATGAGTATACAGCAAACAATTTAACTGTGCTGGCTTTTATATTGGATCACACGTTGGACACTTCCCAAGTGTGTAAGACTATGTGATGTATCGGTGAATAATGTATGCAGATTTGAGTGGGGTGGCCTTTTGCAGCTGACAGGTGGCGATTTTGTCAGCGCTGATTGTTTTTAAGTGCAGGCCAAGGTCTTTAGGTACTGTACCCAGTGTGCCAATCTCCACTGGGGCCACCTTAATTAGCTTGTGCCAGAGTCTTTGCAGAAACATTATTATTATTATTATTATTATTATTATTATTATTATTATTATTATTACAACAAGATGAGTCTGTTATTATTATAAGTCTATTATTATTATTATTATTATTATTATTATTATTATTATTATTTGAAACACAACAAGATGAGTCCACAGCAGACACTCTGCTGGCTGTTGAATTGGATCACACGTCCGACACTTCCGAGGTGTCTAGGACTGTGTGATGTATCAACAAATAATGCATGCAGATCCCAGTAAGGTGGTCTTCTGCAGCTGGCAGATGGTAATTTTGTCAGCGCCGCTTGTGTTTAAGTGCAGGCCAAGGTCTTTAGGCACTGCACTCAGTGTGTTGATCACCACTGGGACCATTTTGACTGGCTTGTGCCAGTCTTTGCAGTTCGATCTTTAAATCCTCATATCGTGTCAGCTTTTCCAGTTGTTTCTCTTCAATCCTGCTGTCACCTGGTATTGTGACATTGACGATCCATACTTTGTTTTTTAACACGATTGTGAGGTCAGGAGTATTATGCTCCAAAACTCTGTTATTGTATTTAGTTTAGTTTAGTTATTTTTTAATGATAAAGCAAACCATAAAATTCACCATTCTGGAACAAGGTAGCAGGAACGGTATAACAAATGCATAGACAATGACTTAACTAAGACTGAAAAATCCACTAATTTGAAGACCACTGTGAAGTTATTGCATGAATTACAATCGAGTTTTTACTGGGACCAAGAATTGAGGTTGTTTTTCTTTCTTTCTAATAATTACAAGGAAACTGTCACCTTTAATCATTAACAAACAATGATAATAAGATATTAATATTGTAAAACACATTTTCCTGAAAAAATATGTATGAATGAATACATTTTCTACTAGGCTTTGCATTTGTCTGCTTTTTGGAATGGTTTTTAAGCAGCGCCACATTCCAAAACATGTCATCTGGAGCATTTTAACACACTATATGAAAATAAATGATGATTGCTTAAGAATCTGCCTATATCTTCCTGTATTCCTCACTATACTGCATCTTCTTTTAAAAATTAGAATCTCATCTAAACAGTCTATACCCAGGAAACCTCCAAGTAATTTATTCTTAACATGCTTTATTTGTTGTAGGGTGTGAGGCCTTCACAGCATTGCTTAGGTAAAGGTTTACCCCTGACATTAAGTCCAGTTGTGTGTGACTCTGGGGATTGGTGCTCATCTCCATTTTTAAGTCAGTTGTCCGTATACACCTCCAAGGCCATGTGGTCGGCATGACTGCATGGAGTGCCGTTACCTTCCTGCCGGAGCAGTACCTATTGATCTACTCACATTTGCATGTTTTTGAACTGCAGAAGCTGGGGCTAACAGGAGCTCACACCGCTCTCTGGATTCGAACCTGCGACCTTTCGGTCAGCAAGTTCAGCAGTTCAGTGGTTTAACCCACTGTGCCACCGGGGGCTCTTCAACATTGTTTATCCTTACAATAGAGCTATGAAATGGTACAATTGACAAATAAGTAAATAATACATTATCAAAATACCATACAAGCAATTTGGTGGTTCCATAATTAGGATTCGAGTGTGAAAGCAAACATATTTGATACTCTGAAAAGCTGAGAGCTTCATTTTATTTTTGCAGCGTAGGTCAGTGGCTCGCAGGCTGGCGAGACCTTTGCCCTGATCCAGGGCAGAAAGGGAGGCCTCACCTTAATGTCTTGCACCCGCTGGACACTGGCGTTGTCCTGGATGATCACCTTGGAGAGGTGGCTCTTGGGCAAGAAGCGCTTGATGGCACTCTCGCCTTTATGGAACAAGCTACAAAGAAGGGGAGAAAACAATATGAGTATTGTATATTGTATATTACATATCATATTATGAGTAATATTACAGTATAGTGTGTTATTATTTTTGATGTAGATGTGGATTTGTTTTTGGGATTTGGGATGCTGGTGGGTTTTTTGGGGTTTTTTTTTGTTGTTGTTGTTGTTTTGTCTTTGTTCGGCTTCTCACGGCATTGAATGTTTGCCAATATCTGTTGGAAACTGCCCTGAGTCCTCTCTGGGAGATAGGGTGGGTTATAAATAAAGTTGGTTGTTGTTATTGTTATTTAGAGAATGGGGGGGTACTCTGTTGGGGGGAAGACACTGCACATGCTCAGCGGTGTGGCTGAATCGTCCTAAACTGAGCTGGTGGGGGCCCCCACCTGTAGAGCACCAGCTCCTGGGGTCCCGAGGGCTGGAAGGAGGTGACGGTGGGGCGGACGTGCCTCCCAGGGAGGGGCCCCCCATCCTCCTTCTCCTCTTTCTCCCCTTTCTCCTCCTCCTCATCCTCCTTCCTCCTCATCATGGCACCACCTGGGTCACAATGGATGGGGCCCTCAGAGGTTGCCCCGGCGATGGGCACAGAACACCCACTCCCTCCTCCCTTCAGCTTTCCATTCCAGAGAGCAGGAGGAGGCAGCCCAGGGCAGGAGCCCCGTGGGGTGGGTGGGCATCAAATGGGCACAAAGGGGCACTGCCAGGTGGAGGAGGCAGTTGCTTCGGCTTCCTGTGGACCCCTTGGCACTGGGATGCCTTAGGCTTGAGTCTCCAATAGAGAGAGGCAGGGCAAAGGGTGGGGGAGATGATGGCAGGGTTGGCATGGTGGCATCTGCCCCAAGTTTGACATCTTCTAGTAAGCAGAGGTCTTCCCCAGACTCGTATCCCGGAACCCTTCTCCACTTGGCCAGAGCTTCTGGGACTTGGGAGTCCACCTGGAGGGTTACGGTTTGGGAATGGTTGTGCCAAGGGTTGCTGCCCCCTGATGTTGTTCTCTCTTTTGCTCCTGGCACAGGAAGGTCCCATTTCGCCCCAGAAGGGACCCGTGGAGGGATGTGAAGCTCTGGTGGTGTCAAGTAAAAAAAAAAAAAAAAAACCAAAAAAAAAGGTGAGCTTTTGCCCTCTCATGCCAGGGGCCATCTCTGCCCGCTAGCAAGGACGGAGGTGTGCCCCTCCAATGCCTACCTGGCATGGGTTTGAGGCCCTTGCAAGGACATGCAAAGCCCTATGTGGCTTCCCACAGAAGAGTGCCAAGGATGCAGAATTCAGAAGCGGTGGCACCCAAATGCCCGTCTCTACAAAATTTGACCAGTGCTGCGGTGGAAAATTGTCCTTTTCTGATGGAAAAATATCCCTGTTGACATGGTATACCTGGATTTGGATCTCTGCTCAGCCTCCGAAACCTGAATTTGGGGGAGTCACACTCTCTCTGCACCAGAAAACCCCATGGTAGGGTTGGCATCAATCAGAAGCAGCAAACAACAGTTAACTATAACCATAAAAGCATACATTGTAAGCCCAGTTTATGGATGTATCTCTAAGGCAACCCCCACCCCCACCCACCCCAGATATTTTGTTTTTCCGGGACTATGATGGAATGTTCTGCCTGATGTGCTGAAATAACCCCCCAAAGTTGGTGAACTAGCATCTGCCACCCTGCCTTGGGCACCAAAATGTCTCAGGACAGTCAAACACCAAGTTATCCATGTCTTCTCCTTCCAGACGTTCTCAAAAGAATCCACCAACAATGTCCAAGGGCTGATCTTCCTGAAGGAGTGCAAGGACGGAGGGCGCTAGTCAATGCCACGGCTTTGGGGCATAGAATTTGCACAGGTATTACTGGGGGAGCAGGGAGCACAGTTGGCAAGGGGCGATCTACTCTGCAGTGAATGTAGTTGGGCCTGATTTTAACTGACATGACTCCAGGCTATGGGATTCTGGGAACCGAACCTCTTTCGCAGCGTCATGCAATGATCTCTTCAGGAGATTATCACACAATGTTGCAATAGTATGGTGATTCCACTAACTGCTGTAGCCTGACTGCTGAGCAATCCTGGGATTTGTGGTTTGGGTAGGGACCTTTAAAATCTACAGAGCACCCTGGTCCTCACTAAACTGCAAACCCCAGAAATACACAGGAGGCAGCTAGAGTGAAGTGAGATCATCACAGCACAGTTATTCCACTTTAACTGCTATGGCTGCCTGCTATTCGAATCCTGGGATTTGTAGTTTAGGGGAGCTTTAAAATCCTCCACGAGAGAGCTCCAGGGCCTCACTAAACTACAAACCCCAGCATTCCCCAAGATGCAGCCCTTGGATTTAAAGCGGAATGACATTGCTTGCACAATGTCCAGTGATAATCTTTTCAGGAGATTATCACACAATGCTATGAGAATGCTGTTGTTCTGCTTGAGCTCTGATAGCTGTGGAATCCTAGGATTTGCAGTTTAGGGAAGGTTCTTTAGAGCCCTCAGCCAGAGAAGCCTTGGGCCTTACTCAACTACAAACCCAGCATTCCCCAAGAGGCAGACATTGGATTTAAAGTAGAGTGGAAGCGGTTTCACAATGCCATGTGATAATGTTTTAGGAGATTATCACACAATGCTATGAGAGTGTTGTTCCTCCAGAGCAGGCATCCTCAAACTGCGGCCCTCCAGCTGTTTGGTCCTTCAACTCCCAGAATTCTGACAATTGAACAAGCTCATTAGGGCTTCTGGGAATTGGAGGCCCAAACAGCTGGAAGGCTGCAATTTGAGGATGCCTCCTTCAGAGAGTGTTGCTTTCCTGGCATTGTGCTATGATACCCTTTGCGAAAAGGCTCACCCTCCGCTCTCTTTGTGCATCCCATCTCAGCTGGCCAGCATGCTGCCTCCTTTCCTGGCTGCCGCCTGAAGCCCGCCTCCATGAGTTCCTCGTTGGGACCCATCCCCTTCCTGTTCCAGTACCCCTCCGTCTATGGCATGTCCCGGGTGACCGACAGCCTCTTCCTGGGCAATGGCGAGGTGGCCAACAACAAGTACTTCCTCTATGCCAACCGCATCACCACGGTCATCAACGTCTCGGTAGAGGTGGTCAACACCTACTTCCCAGACATCTACTACATCCATGTGCCGGTCCCCGACTGCCCCTCCGCCCGCATCTACGACTTCTTTGACCCCGTAGCCGATAAGATCCACGCCGTGGAACAGGGTCATGGGCGCACCCTGGTCCACTGTGCTGCCGGCATCAGCCGCTCAGCCGCCCTCTGCATTGCCTACCTGATGAAGTACCACGGCATGGACCTGGCGGATGCTCATTCCTGGGTCAAGGCCTGCCGCCCCATCATCCGACCCAACAATGGCTTCTGGCAGCAGCTCATCCAGTACGAGCACAAGCTCTTTGGCAAGACCAGCGTCCGCATGGTCCACTCCCCAACGGGTCCAGTCCCCGACCTCTACCAAGATGAAGTGCGCGTCATGATCTCCTTGTGACAACTAAAGGGCGTAGGCACTGCCCTTGGCACCTCCGCCCTAGTAACGGCAGCAGCGGCGGAGTCGCTATTGGAGGAATGCGTGCACCGATGCTATCTCTGCTGAACTCGAAATGAGGCAGGGTCCGATTTGAACCTGCCGCTAGGCCGGAGAAGGGGACTTGTAGGTAAGGGTGGGGGTGGGTTGCTTTCTATAAATAAAAAACAAGAAAAATGGGAAAAAGAGACCGCCGAGGCCATGTCTCCTTCTCTCCTGACTTTCAGAGAACATTTACTTATTATTATGAATAATAGCTTTTTTCTCTCAGTTGAACCCCAAATTCCTTCCTTATTGAGGTGACAAACCCTCTCCTTCCTTGAGCGCCAAAGCTTTAGGATAACAGGGTGGCTTACATCTACATTGTAGAGTTAATGCAGTTTGATGCCACTTGGACTATCAGTGCTATGGAATCCTGGGAGTTGCTGTTTTGCCAGGCCTTGAGCTTTCTCTGCCCAAGAGTGCACAAAGTACAACTTCCGGGACTCCACTGTCTTGAGCTACAGGAGTTAAAGTGGTGTCAACTTGCATTAATTCTGCAGTTGTAGATGCACCTACCCACCCTGGTAGGTGGGTAGCTTCTGGCCTTCCAGGTCTTGTTGAGCTGTAAGTCCCATCGTCATTGATTCTTGGTCATCTTGGTTGATGGGCATTGAAGTAAAGACATGAAAAAGCATGAAACTGAAATAATCAATCCCATGAAAGTCATTTGAAACAAATAGCAGCATCATATCAAAAGCCTTTTCTTTATACACACACACACACACAGAGTTCATCAACTTCTGGAGCTCCGCAAAACATCTGGAGGGCTGTCACCATCCGGCCAAAGAGACGATTGTGTTGCGCTGGAGGACTCCGAGGAGAAGAGGGACGGCAGAGTGGCATCCACACAGTTGAGCCAGAAGTTGGCACAGCCGGCATGAAAACAGCTGCCCTGGTAGCTCACTGGATCAGCATTGCCCGAATGGAGCTGGTGGAGGAAAGAGAAAAAGAGCAGGTTGTGAAAAGCCGGGCAAAGAAGGGATGCCCCCTGACATTTCTCAATTAGGCCATTCACTCTGCCCACATTTAAGTCATGGACCAGGGCAATTGTTGAATGGCAAAGTGGCATGTTTTTGGCCAAAGGTAATTTACCTGTGGCTGCTGCTTCACCTCAGTTAGACAAACACCGCAGAGGACTTTGGGGTCTGGAGGAGAGCAAGGAGGGGGACTTCCGACCGATGGCTCCAAAAGCTGGCCATCCTTAGAAAGGAACATAGAAGCATAGGAAGCACACACATCTGTGAATTTGGACAGCTTACCTGGACCAGATGTATCTCAGTGACTCAATACAGGCAGTTTGATGCCACTGTGTGCCCCTTCAGTGCCACTCTCTCTGCCAACCGGATGCCCTTACCAGCGTTTGGAAGGCAGAACCCCCATAGGCAACAAAGGCCAAGAGGTTGTTCCAGGCCAAGTCCACTTCACGCAAGGTCTGCTCCAGCCGTTCACCCACAAGCGCCCGGGCCTTGGCTCCACTTTCCAGGCGCTTGGAGACCCGGTAGACCTCTGACAGCCCTGCGAGCAAGACAAAGGGGCTTGGAGCTGTGCCCGTGCCACAGCTTGGTGTGTCAACAGTCCCCCATTCCTGGTATCCCAAGGAAGGAGCAGGAGAAGCTGTGTCACAACCCTCCCTACTGGGATGGAAGCCAAATGCCAGCACCATGTTACCCATGTAATGCCAGGCAGTACCCAAAATATATGCCATCCCAGGGGTCGACCCCAGCACCTCACTGCACACAGAAGGTTGGCTGATCCCAGCCAGGATTTCATTGGCCTTCCCGATGACCTACAAAAGAGAAAGAGGGGGCATCTAGACCGGGCATGGGCCAACTTCAGCCCTCCGGGTGTTTTGGACGTCTACTCCCACAATTCTTAACTGCCTCAGGCCCTTTCCTTTTACTTTCCCCTTTCCTTTTCTGCTTAAGCGGCTGAGGAAGAAAAAGAAGGAGCCTGAGGCTGTTAGGAATTGTGGGAGTTGAAGTCCAAAGCACCTGGAGGGAGGGCTGATCTAGACTGTGAAACAAATGCAGCTTGGGCACCACCATTTTCCTGCAATGGTTCCCCTGCATAAGCAAATGGCATCATGGGGCTGTCAATTCTTTGAGTGAAAGGGAGTGCAAGGAAAAGATAGAAGTGGGGATGATGGGGGTTAGAGTACCTGATGGATCTGCCTCAGGCATCGCATCAAGTGGGCCATCTCCGCAGCCATCGGGGTCAATAGTCTGGAATTAGAGCCAAGGAAGACTTCTTGGACACCCTTTGCCCACAACCCACACTCTGCGCTCCGTTGGGCATTGACGTGCCAAAGCTCTTCTTGGGCAGCTTTGCTCTGATTGGCCTTCCTCTGAGGCTGAGAGAGTGTGGCTCACCCATCCAAGGAGGGTTTCATGGCTAAGCGAGGATTTGAACCCTGAGTCCTAGCCCAACACTCAGACCAGTAACCCAATGAAAGGGTGTCCACTTACATAGGCAGAGAATGCCAGCTGCTCAGGACACAAAGCTGCTTCAGTCCCAGGTGGCAGGAGACATTGAGGATGGAAGACGTGGAAGGGCAGGCGCAAACTCCTCCTCCTCCTCCAGGAAAAGGGTTGGCCACTGACCGGTCTGGTCTAACCGCCTTCCCTTGGCAGGAAGTTGGCCAGACAAGTTAACCTTTTGGGCTCCGGAAGAGTCCAGAGTTTGCACAGCTGGGGGAGATTCAAGACTCCCGAATAAGAAGTTGCTCCCTTTCTTCTAGGCTTGGCTCCAGCACCTTAAAGGAACCCTTATTTGGACTTTTGTGGCCTGGAGAGGGATGGACAAAGGCTCTACACAGACACAGGAGCCCCAACCGAAAAAGCCCCACATTTGCCCTTCCAGATGTTTTGGATTTCACTTCCCAGAGTCCCTGACCATTGGGCACACTGGGAATTGGAGTCCCAAAGTTTGGCTCCCGGTGGTCTAGATGCAGCTTGCAGACCTGAGAGCAAGGGACACTGGGAGTTGGAGTCCAACTTCATCGACCCCTAGCCTTTCAAAGCAATAGTGTTGTTCAAGTGGGCAAGAATTCTTCCGAGGAGCTTTGCATGGAGGTCCAAACCCTGGCCTCGCAGGGATTCAAACCCTGGCCTCGCAGAATTTGAATCCAAAACCACACCACTCCCATTTGGAAAACTCATTAAAATCAGTGGGGATTCTCTGGACTTGAAGAAGGACTTGAGGGTTGCCAAGATTTCCCCCAGTTGTGGCAAGGTGCAAAGAAAAGGCCAGAACAGCAAGCATGTCCTATTTATACAGCGGAGGCCCCCAAAAAAAAACACCAACCACCCTTCGCTTGGGATGCTGCAGCGCCGTGGGCAGTGGGGTTGCCATAGTAACTGGCTGGGATGTGCAGAAATAGCCGGCTTTGCCTGCCTGGGTGCACCAATCCGAAAAACAAAGCAAAACCTTTGGGAACAGCACATACATCATGACACTGTTTTCATAATGGCTGAAATGTGCTCCAGAAGCTCAGGCTCGCCTTGAGCCTGCCTGCCCGCCCTCCCTCCCTCCCGAGGTCATTCAAGGACACCACGCTGCGCTAGGAAGACCAAAATAGAGCTTTATTGCCAAGGGAGACGCAATCGAAGAGGTCGGCCCTGTTTCGCTTGTGCTCTGGTTGCGACAAAGGTGGGGCTGTGGGCACCGAATATGTGCATCAAATCATACTTTAGACACTGGCCAAAAGAACAACACTTGTGCCCGGCATTACACTGGCAACGGTAGGCATCAGGGCACTTGGCAAACAGCCCTTCAGCCTGATTCTAGAACTGGTATGGACAAACTTCAGCCCTCCCTCTGGGTGTTTTGGACTTCAACTCCCACCATTCGTAATAGACTCAGGCCCCTTCCTTTTCCCCCAGCCACTTAAGCGGAAAAGGAAAGGGAAAAAGAAGGGGCCTAGGCTGTTACGAATGGTGGGAGTTGAAGTCCAAAACACCTGGAGGGAGGGCCAAGTTGGCCCAAGTCTGGTCTAGCAGAAGAAGAAGATAGTCAAAGCAGCCACTGCGTTGCTCCTGGCACTTGGGCACCAAAAGGATGAAGATGAGGGAGGGAAATAGGCATACCAATCAGTCCTTACTCTTGCCAAATGGGTTGTATACCCTATACATGCACACGTACACAAACACCCTGCAGGCATTCAGAGATAATACTGACCACATCTGACCTCCCCCCGTCCCCGCCCCCCCGGCTTCAAACCATCAAACGAGGGACTCCATCCACAAACGGGCACTGCAGGGATTGGTTGCAGGAGAGGAAAACAATGCCCATCTCACCAGTGCCATGGTCCTGAACCCCTGGGGCAGCTCTCCTCTGTCCAGCAGAGTGAAGAACATCCTAGTGAGTTCCTCCATGATCCAGCCAGGTCCGGGTACCAATCTGTTCTCGTGTGCCCTCCATCTCTCTCTCTCTCTCTCTCTCTCTCTCTCTCTCTCTCTCATACACACACACACTTTTAATCCACCCAGCGGACGGCTGTCAGAAAAGGAAAATAATACATACAGGAAGACCCCCTGGGCATTGTCCAGTTTCAGTTCGGAAATATGCCCCAGTCCTCCTTATGCTCTTATGCTTCCAGTGATTTCCGTTCTCTGTGGGCAACCAAGTTCCAGAAGTGTTACTGGCACAGGCTTCAGGCTTTGAAGATGCCCCTGTGAATAAGGGGACCTTACTGTACAATTGCCAAGACTCTACCCCAGTCATGAATGGGCATTGCTATCCCAATTGTGCCATCTCTTCTCTGCCTCTGTTTTTGGAGCTGCTCGGTAACACCGGTTCTGTGCTTTGCATGGGAAGCCCAAGAAAGGAAAAAAGGGACACTTTGCCACATCCATTGACAAGCCTTAGATCTACAAGACGCCCTTGGAGCTGACACAAGAGTTGGCATCTATGTGAAAGCAATTGGCAGACATTGGCGATACTATTCAGGATGAATAAGACCTGTTTAAGAAAATACTATGGCCCTGATGCCAGGGGGAGCCTCCCTCTGCCTTGAAAGCTGGCACAATGACTGTAGGGAGGGAGTAGCTCTTGGATTTCAATGGGTGGGTATTTTTGTGCCCAGATCAGAAGTGGCACCTGTAACAGGATGCTGGAAAGCATTTCTCAAAAGCATTTCCACCCACGAGCAATGGTTTGGGAGCAGTTGGCATTGTTTGGGGAAGGCAACCTTGCCCAGGCCTTCCGTCCACTAATGCCAAAGTCCAGTTGGCGCGAGACAGCAATCCCTCTCTGGCTCATTCCTCTTTGGCTCGCTGGGTTCGGGCCCGCCAGCAGTCGGCGATGCCCTGGCAGTGGTGGTACATGAAGACCCCGGAGAGGGTGAGCCCAATGCCTGCGTAGCCCAGCAGCGTCAGGCGGCTGCCAAAGAGCAAGCGGGAGAGGAGCAGATTGCCCACCACATTGAAGTTGCCCAGGACGTGGATGGTGAGAGCCGAGGTGAGGGAGAGGACGGCAAAACTGGCCAGGTTGTAGAGCACAGAGCCCAGGCAGCTGGCCAGCAGGCAGGCCCAGAGCCCGGCCCCATATGTCAAGGTGCCATCCCAGGCTGGGCCCACCTCCAGCAGCAGGGCCGCCCCAAAGAGGATGTAGAAGCTGGGCAGTGAGGTCAGGCAGAGCAGGTTCAGTGAGTCCAGCCGCTCCTCCTGCAGCAGGGTGCCTGTGGGAAGACCAAAAGATGCAGCGTGAGTCGTCGGCAGAAGGAGACCCAGAGCCATTTCCCCAGGCGCCAATCCCCAGGTGGGCATCCAGCTTGGAGGCAGGAGGGGGCTCCTAAACTATCATCTGAACAGATGGCAAAGAAATTACCACCAAGCCCTTCCGCACCCCAATCTTTATGGATCAAAATGGAGTACGGTTTAGCATTCCAAAAGCCCTTCCCACATCCAAACTGGGCCATTGTCCCCCTGTATTCAGGGCCCCTGGTGGCGCAGTGGGTTAAAGCACTGAGCTGCTGACTTGGTGACTGAAAGGTCGCCAGTTCAAATTGGGGAGCGGCATGAGCTCCGGCTGTTAGCCCCAGCTTCTGCCAACCTAGCAGTTTCAAAAACATGCAAATGTGAGTAAATCAATAGGTACCGCTCCAGCGGGAAGGTAATGGTGCTCCATGCAGTCATGCCGGCCACATGACCTTGGAGGAGTCTACGGACAACTTCAACTCTTAGGTTTAACAATAGAGATGAGCACCAACCCCCAGAGTCGGACATGACTGGACATAATGTCAGGGGAAACCTTTACCTTTACTATTCAGGTTTCTCAACCTTCCTAATGTCGCAGCCCCCTTAATACAGTTCCTCATGTTGAGGTGACCCCCAACCATAAAATTATTTTTATTGCTACTTCATAATTGTAATGTTGCTACTGTTATGAATCATATGCAGGATGTATTTTTGCTCACTGGACCAAATTTGGCACTAATACCCGATATGCCCAAATTTGAATATTGGTGGAATTGATTTTGTCATTTGGGAGTTGTGGTTGCTGGGATTTATAGTTCACCTACAATCAAAAAGCATTCTGAACTCCTCCAACAATGGAATTGAACCAAACTTGGCACACAGAACTCCCACGACCAAGAGAAAATACTGTGTTTTCTGGTGGTTTTTGGTGACCCCTCTGACACCCCCTCAGGGGTTCCTACCCCTAGGCTGGGAAACACTGTACTAGGGTCTCCGTCAATATCATATTGATTGATTTATATACAGCCAGCCCTCCAGTGACCGTAATAAAATTTTGTATTGTATTGTAGCTGGCCTTCCACATCCACAGATTCAACCCTCCCATTGGGCCTTTTTCTAGTAGTGGCACTGTTTTACGATGCTATTGTATGTCATGGGGCTTGAGCATTACTGGATTTGGGTATCAACGAGGGTCCTGAAACCAAACTACAATGGCTTCCATGAGTCCACTATATGGCCTTCTAGCTTCCAAGACTCAATTGAACTTTGATCATCGGAGCCCCCGGTGGTGCAGTGGGTTAAATCCCTGTGCCGAAAGGACTGAAGATTGACAGGTCACAGGTTCGAATCTGCGGAGAGTGCGGATGAGGTCCCTCTATCAGCTCCAGCTCCTCAGGCAGGGAGATGAGAGAAGCCTCCTACAAGGATGTTAAAACATCAAAACATCCGGGCGTCCCCTGAGCAACATCCTTGCAGACGGTCAATTTTCTCACAACAGAAGCGACTTGCAGTTTCTCAAGTCGCTCCTGACACGACAAAAAAAAGCCAAAAAACTTTGTTTCTGTCTTAACTGTCATGGAGTCCTGGGATGTGTAGTTTGAGGCTGGGCATGTAATGTCCTCTGCAAGAGAATGTTAAACACCGGTGTCCCATATATTTCTGGTTCCAGCTTGAGATGGAGTCAATGACAGACAGATGTTGTTATAGGAAACCTCAAAGCAACTACCCAGAACAGGGACGCAATGCCAAGGGGTGGGGTGGGGGGAACCCAAATATCACCCACCGCCTTTGGGCTCCTAACCACCCACTGCCGTAGTCATGCCAAACAAAGGCGTTTCCATGTTTGAATCTGTCTGCATTTCAAATTGGGAAAATCATTTTTTCCTCTTGCCTTGGTGGTCTGTTTCCAAGGCAACGGGGCAGGCAAAACATGAATCATGCCCTGCAGACAATCTCCCCGCAGAGATGTAGGTTTCCGAAGGCGAGGGCCTCTTTTGTTCCGCTCAAGGTTTCCAAAAGCGGCACCCATAAATTCCACAAAGGGAAACACAAAGGGGGGGGGGGGATCTTTCAAAAAGAACCCACATAGTCATCTTTTCCCAAAATAAGAGACATGCTAGAGAAGTGGCAGATGGGTGGCATCCTCCCCTCTGGGGATGGTGTTAGGCACAGCGATGGGGGCATCTACAGTAGAAGGAATGCAGGTTGAGAGAACTTGGACTTCCATGGCTCAATGGAATCATGGGATCTGTAGTGAAGTGAGGAACCAGCACTCTTTGGCAGAGAAGGCAAAAGACAACATTCCCATGATTCCCTAATATGGAGCCATGGCAGTTCAAGTGGCATCAGGTCCATTCCCAGTGGCACCTGCCCACCCGGATAGATGTATACAGTGAATATGTATGCACAGAAGAACTTGTGATAGCAAGTTTGAAAAACATCAACTTTGATATATGACTCTGTGAAATCAGATAACAAAATATACCAAATTCACCATTTCCACTAAATAGAAATGTTTGTGCATTCACCACGCTCCTGGTTGCTTAACCCCGAAGAACTGTAAGGAGAAACAAAAACATTGATTTTCCTGTGCATTTTATGATTGTGCTTTTAAAAGAATGCTAAGGTTGTGAGTCATATTGCTCTCAGGACACGACTAACATATTCAGAAAGGCTTGCAGTCATACTTGCTCAAGGAAACTTCCTGCGTCTCAGCATTTTCTGTACCATACCATAACATTAGCATGATGTTGATTTTGCTCAGAATAGGACTTTCTTGCCAAATCAACTCTTGTGTTCTACTTAATAGTAAAGGTTTTCCCCTGACATTAAGTCCAGTCATGTCCAAGTCTGAGGGTTGGTGCTCATCTCCATTTCTAACCCGAAGAGCTGGCGTTGTCCATAGACACCTCCAAGGTCATGTGGCCGGCATGACTGCATGGAGCGCCATTACCTTCCCACTGGAGCAGTACCTATTGATCTATTCACATTTGCATGTTTTCAAACTGCTAGTTTGGCAGAAGCTGGGGCTGACAGCGGGAGCTCACCCCACTCCCCGGATTCGAACCGGCGACCTTTCAGTCAGCAAATTCAGCAGCTCAGCGGTTTAACCCACTGAGCCACCGGGGGCACCTTATTATTCTCTTAATTTGTATGTACTTTTCTTGTTATCATTCGTTCACTTAATTTAAATGGTCTATAGGTTTATTCTCATTTATCTTGTTTATAATTTACCTTGTTTATATTGTTCCATTGCCGTAAGCCGCTCCAAGTCCCACCCGCGGATGGGGGGGGCGGGATACAAATAAAGTATAATAATTATTGTTATTGTTATTTTACTGACACAAAACACAGTATGACACAGCTGGATTTCATATCACAAAATCCCAAGTCAAACACTTCCCAAGTGTTTAGGACTGTGTGATGTATTTTTTAAATAATAATAATAATAATTATTATTATTATTATTATTATTATTATTATTATTATTATTATTGAAACCAAGTGGGCACCAACTGGAGGAAGTGAAGGGCCCCTTGCCCTTGCGCTGGCACCCCTAGCATCCTTGCCAGCCCTGGACCCCGCTTACTTTGCTGGATGGACTTGAGCCCCCGGAGGAAGGTGGCGGCCACCAGGCAGCAGCAGCCGGCCTGGTCGAAGTGAACCTGTCCCACGATGCTGAGAGCAGCGCCCAGGCAGATGGGCCCCATGGCGGCGTACTGGAGCGGGTGATGGCGCTTGCGGAGCAGAGCCTCGGACAGCGCCAGGGTGAAGAGCGGCGTGGTAGTGTAGACCATCTGAGCAAAGTCCAGCTGCACATAGTTGAGACCCAGGTTGCCAAAGGCCACGCTGGCGCAGAAGGTGATGCTCAGCAGCAGGACCCGGGCCTGGGCGCCAGGGCCCAGCAGAGGCCGGGGCCCACTTGCCCGCAGCTTGCCCACCAGGACAGCCGTCAGCATGTGCAGGGAGGAGAGCAGCACCGGGAAGCGGAAGTTGTGGACAGCAAAGATCCACTTGTTGAGGCTGGCCATGGTGGTGCCAGTGGCCAGCCAGACCAGGACAGTGGGCACCAGGGGCAAGGCGGGCGCGGCCCCACGGTCCAAGGCTCTCAGCTTCCCATCCTGGCCTGGATCTGGCTTCCAGGGAGGCGGTGGCCCTGCTCTCTGGGCCAGCGGGCTCATCCCGGCAGCATCTCTCCTCCCTGAGGGCAGGCACATCGGGGAGGGCAGCCTGGCAAAGTCCTTGGGCAGAGGCTAGAGCTCCTGAAGGATGAAGATGCTCACAGCAGGGAGGGTGGCGACTGCCGGCCCTGGCTCCTGCTCCTCCTTCTCCTGCCTTTGCTGCTTGTGACTCACCGGTATAGAATTTCCAGCTGGTCCAGGGTTGTTTTCGTGGCTTTCACTCTGCCAGTGCAAAAGGCCTCCCTTTCTTCAAAGGGGCCAAAGGGCACCTTGGCATCGGCTCCGACAGAGAAGTGACCCATCCCGGCCCAGGCTTCCCAATCCGACTGCTCTTTGGGACAGGATGCCAGCTTGAGCCCAGTGCCATGTGCAAATTGATGCCGGGCGGAAGGGAGGCGGCCCAAAGTGGGATGCAGGAGACTCCTCCTTCCCCAATGGCAACGGCCAGGGCAGCAACAACAACAACAGAGTCCTGCGTCAGCATCCTTCAAGCGGCATCCTCTGACCGCCCGCGAGAGGCCACCCTGGACCAGGCTTCCTGCCAGGAGATTATCATGAGCTGCTGCTGCTGCTGCTGCTGTTGGCGGAAGAGGAAAAGAGGGAAGCGTCAGGGAATCAGCTGCCGAGCAACAGGCACAGCATCCTTCCTGGATCAGGAGGAGCTGAGACCACTTCCACACAGCTGAATAAAATCCCACATTTGAACTGGAATATATGGCAGTGTGGACTCAGATATCCCAGTTCAAATCAGATATTGTGGTATTTTCTACCTTGATATTCTGGGTTATAGATATGGATGTGGGAAGGCCTTGAGATGGGCAGGAGGGCTTTTGAGCCCATGCAAAGGGCCTGGTGCTTCTCACAAGGCAGAGGTGGGCACCCAGCAGCCGTCCATGCATTATCAGTGGGCACCCCAAAGGTCATCTAGTCCAGCCCAATCTCTGTCGCATGGAAGAAGCCAAGACAGCACTCCTGAAAGCAGCCCATCAAACCTGTTTGAAAGCCTTCGAAGGAGGAGAGTTGGCCGCTTTCCAAGGCAGTTGGTAGCCCTCTAGAGTTGGAAAGGGACCCCCAGAGGCCATCTAGTCTAGACTAGAAGACGAAAGCACTCCTGAAAAGAAGGCCATTCCAGCCTGTGTTGATCAGCTTATGAAGATGCTGGAACGACCACCCTTCAAAGACGCCTGTATTCGGAAGGGGCTCTCAAAGGCCATCTAGTCTGTTCTGAAATGATACACAACCCAAAGGGGCCCATGCCCACCCAAGCACCCTTGGAAAGACCAGGGAGCTTGAGCAAGGTGCCCAAACTCTCTGGGCCTCTCCAAGGTGCTGAATGCCTCTGGCAAAACTCCTCAGAAGGTGATCTAACTGGGAGACCCATTGAAAGGGTCCTTCCCCACCCATTGGCTCCAAGAGGTCTATTCCCTCCTGCCACTGGGCTCCATCCCTAGCAGATACATGTTGCCCACGGCATCATGTCTGAACACGCTGATCTCTGCTGAGCCAGATCTCCTCGGGTGAGGCTTACCTTTGTCTTTCCGGAGGGCAGCTTTTCCCAGCTGTTGCTGCAGAGAGAAGGTGGCAGCTCTGGCGCAGTCAACATTGGGGGAACAGCACTCAGCTCCAATCACCCCACCCACTCTGTGCCAAAGCTACGTCAGTGACAAATGAATGCTTTGTACTAATGCTATGGAGACCTCTGAGTTGTAGCTTGCCCTCTTTGGCCATGAAAAAGACCTGGCTAAAATAAACACCTCCCAGGCCTGCATAGCACTGAGCCATGGCAGTTCGAGTGGGGTTTCAAACTGCATCCATTCCTTCATGTAGATGCACACTAGGAAGGGAACAAAGCCTCCAAGTTGGGACTCAAACCCACAACGGATATAATGGACCTCTAGCTGGAACCGTCGGCAGAAAGGAACCTGGTGGCAGGAAAGCCAGAAATTCCCCTTCAGAACAAGTGCTACATAATACTACATTATTATTATTATTATTATTATTATTATTATTATTATTATTGTATGCGTATAGTCATACTATATTATTAATATACTCCTGTGAATGGTTGAGGGCCCTACCTTGAAAAAACAAATGGAGAAACAGAAGGGAAAAGAAAGGACGTTTTATTGATCAGTTTCCAAATCTCAAACATTTTGTCAGCCTTACGATCCAGACTGCATTGGTGAGTATGGGTTCAAAGGCTTGGCACAAGAGCTGTGGGGTCATCCCAAGTGCAAAACCTGGCATATGCATGGAAGGCAGGCCTGGGACACTTCCCACTGCAACAGGGAGCCCTGCCAGGCAGGCAAGTCAGTTCCGCCACCCAAATCCTATGCCTGGCATTTGCCAAGGCGGCACCACATCTCCAAATTGTCCATTTTTGGGTGGTGGGGGAGGAGAGCTGACAAAGACAGGGCACTGCCAACCCAACCCCTACCAAGGGCTAAACCTTAAGATGATGGTTTCCTTATCCTGGGGTATGTAGTCGGCGAGGCCTGCAAAGCAAAATGAAAGGCAGTCAGTGGAGAATTTCATCTATGCTGATGATCGTGCAATCACCGCTCAAACAGGGAACTTTGAAATGGTTGAACAGAAGCTCTCCGAAGCTTTAGTTGCTCTTACTGCTTACTACAGGGAAAACCAACTGATCCCTAATCCATCTAAAATGCAGGCATGTGCTTTTCACCTTAATCATAATAATAATAATAAACTTTTTTTGTACCCCGCCACTATCTCCCCAATGGGGACTTGGAACGGCTTAAGAACAGACAAGCATCTCAAGCTCTGAAGATGAGCACTGCAGCCCTCCCAAATACCTGGGAGTTACTCTGGACTGTGCTCTGACTTACAAGAAGCACTGTTTGAATTTCAAGCAAAAAGTGGGTGCTAGAAATAATATAATAATACAAAAGCTGACCGGCACAACCTGGGGATCACAACCAGACAGTGTGAAGACATCTGCCCTTGCGCTTTGCCACTCTGCTGCTGAATATGCATGCCCTGTATGGAATACATCTCACCATGTTAAAACAATGGACGTGGCTCTTAATGAGGCCTGGCCCATCATCACAGGATGTCTACATCCTACGCTGCCTGAGAAATTACACTGCTTAGCCGGTATTGCACCACCTGACATCCATTGGGAAGTAGCAGCCAGCAATGAAAGGACCAAGATATGGACATCTCCAGCCCATCCTCTGTTCGAATATCAGCCAGCATGCCAGCGCCTTAAATCAATCTTAAATCAATTGCTTTCTAAGATCTACAGAGGTACTTGCAGGAACACCTCAGCAAGCAAGACTCCAAAAGTGGCAGGCTAAAATCCAGCACTTCAATCTGTGGCTGAGACCAAATGAGAGACTCCCTCCTGGGCACACAGAAGACTGGGCAACTTGGAAGGAGCTGAACAGACTGTGCTCTGTTACCACGAGATCTTAAGAAATGGGGCTACAAATTGGAGTCCGCGACATGAGAGTGTGGAGAAGAGCAAACCACAGACTACGTACTACAATGCAACCTGAGCTCTGCCACATGCACAATGGCGGACCTTCTCATAGCTACTCAAGAGGCACTCCAAGTGGCCAGCTTCTATCAAAGGACATTTAACATAATGCCAAGTGTTGCTTTTTTAAAAAAAACTCTGTGGTTTTTTATACATTATAACTTTATCCTCAATTCACTTTGGACATGATAAATAAACAAACAAACAAATAAATAGGCGAGAATGGCTGCTTCCCTTCCCAAATTGGTGCTGGGGGGAGAGATGCCATACGAAGAGAGCCAAGGAGGGTTGGTTTTTTTCTGGAGAGGGGACGGGGTTCTGTGTCATATAATTCAATGTTGTCAGTCCAGCCAAAGCTAAGCGCACCCATGCTAGGATTTGGGTGCTTTGCATTTCTTTTGAACTACGACTCTTGTTGTTTCCCATACTGACCTTGCTCCAGGAGGCTGCTGGGGGCCCGGAGGATCTTCCAGTACTTGCGCTCCCCTTCCTGGGCCTTCACCCCCATCAGCGCCATCAGAAATGGGCCTGAAAAGGTCTCCTTGGTCTCAAACCTGGGCAAAGCAGGGCAAAGCAGAAGCGTGGGGTTGCAGAGTCAGCTTTGGGAGGTTGAAAGCAAAGAATTTAAGCCCTGGGACTGAGCCCCCGAGGAGATCCTGGGACTGGCAGGACCCAGGGGAGTCTCAGGGGAGACTCACGTGAGCGGCGCCCTGTCTTCCCTCGAGGCCACATTCAGCACATCCAGCAGAGAGGAGCCCTGGGCCACCGTCAGCACCCGCCGGAAGAGGGGCAGCTTGCGAGGCGGTTGCTTCACAATCAGCTGGACGGCTATTTGTTTGCTTGGCCGGGTGGCATGTGGTGCTGTGGGTGAGGGAGTGCCAAGGGCCAAACCATCTGCAAAGAAGCAGGTCAATTAGGAGGAAAAAGGATCCATTAGGGATGAAACTGAACACCAATGGAGCCAACGGTCATTACTGAATGAGTTGGTGGCAGAAGTTTTGGGCACCATCCCCCCGTCTGCCTTCCCTTCTTACCTCTCTCTGTGTGGCACTCCATGCTGGCAATGTCCAGGTAGCTCTTGCCATTCAGGACGGGCAAGAGTTGGGACTTGAAAAGGACGTCCTGGGAGTCTCCCTGCTCCAGGTGCTGGAGGAGGGAGGTCATGCCCTTGGGGCACTTGGGCTCCTTCTGGCTCTGCCCCACGGCAAGGAGGAACTGCATTGTGCCAGGAAAAGGAGGGCAAGCATCAGAGAAAGGCAGGCCTACTCAACTTGGCAGGAGAAGGGGGCCAAATTAAATGGGTGAACTCTCTTGGGGCCGAAGATAGGGTTTTCAAAACTCACTTTCCAAGTCAAGTAATCAATGATCTATTAGGATGTGCTTCATATCTCTGCGGGCCACACCAACTCCTTCTGGGGTTGTGCAGGTCTGCCTGAAGGGCTGGAGTGGGAAGCACCCTGTCTGTAGGGCATGCAAAAGCTATGGCACTACCCAGGAAGAATCCACACTTTTCAGCACCTGAGGCAGTGCCTGGCTCACCTGAGCTGCAAGAGGGCTGCTGTAGATGTTCCCAAAGGCCCCCTCGGGAGTCTGGGCCTGCAAGACTTTCGCCTTCACTCGCTCCACAGACTGGTGCAGTTTGACCCCCAGCTCTGGTGGGTAGAAGGTGGCCCGCTGCAAGCAGGCAAAGGCCAGCCCTGCCATGGCCTCCGTGTCTGCAGGAAGAAAGGCCCAAAAGGAGAGTGAAGTGGGAGTGCTGCCAATTGTGTGGCACGCACTGAGGTCCAGCAGCAACAGCAGAACTGCACACAACTGGAACCCTTACCCACAGAAGAACCCTTACCCACAGAAAGCTTGCCATGGATCCCAAGCCGGCTGTGCTCCTCAGCGTGCAAGAGCCTGTGGATCACGTGCACATCGACCATCTTCCCGTGGATGCACAGGGCCAACAGCCCCAAGCCATACTGGTAGTAGTTGGTGAGGGGCTGGCCGAGGTTCTCAGAACCTGGGGCAGAAGCAAATCCCTGTTAGCCATTCCCTCATGAATCCCAGACCCAGAATGGGAAGAGTGGTCATGCGGCATATATGGCCATTTTGGCAGCCTCACAGCCCAAAAGGAAAAGGAAAACCACCCCACCTGGGGAGTGGTGCTGCTTGAAGGCCAGGCGTGGGACTTGGGTTGGGTGAAGAAAAGGCCGATCCTATTTGCCCTCCGCAGCGGTGCCCCTCCTTGCCATGGGAGGCAATGCAGAGCGGACACAATCCAATCCAAGAAAGGCCATGTGGCCATGCCTTAGTAAGGTCCAAATGCCACTTTGGCCCTGGCCCCTAGCCCAACCCTGATAGTGCCTTCCTTTCAGGAGGAAGGTGGCAGCGGGAGGAGCATTGTACCTATCTCCTCCTTCTCCTTGTGCAGGTGAAGCTTCAGCTGAGTGACCAGCCGGTGGGCCTCAGGCGTCTCCATGTTGTGGCAGGCTGCGCGTAATGCCAACAGGTAAAGTGCCAAGCGGCCCGTGCCAGGCTGCTCCTGATACTTGACAGCCACCTGATCACTGAGCCAGAGAGAATCGAACCAAATCAGGGTTAGGCCTTGCTCAGGTGGATTTCCCCACCAAGGCAGGAGACCCAGGGCTCCTACCTGCTGTTGTTGGGCTGATAGACCCCCTTGAGCCGCTCCAGGTAGAGGCGCTCCTTCTCCAGGCTGTGGTGCTTGGAAAGACGGAGTCCCAGGTAGATGCTGGGGTCAGGCTCCCGGGTGGCATCGTGAGCCAGCGCCAAGAGCTCTGCGCTCAAGGAAGCCACGCGGTGCCCGTTTCCTGATGGGATTTCTTCAAGGAGGAAGAAGAGAAGACACAGCCCAGGATAATAATGACATGGCCCTATTGGGTCATGTCACGTCCCTCTTCCTGGCACTTGAACGCCAACACCGCTTCCCCCCATTCTCATTCCTGTCCCTTTCAAACAAACCAAGAGGCAGGACAAGAAGCCCCAAATTCACCAGGAGCTGGCAGAAAAGGCTATACTAACTCAACTCTTGTGTGCCATGGAATCTGAGGCACACCTCCATTTTCAAAACCCTGAAACCCCAAAAAAGTATTTGCTGCCAAATGCCATGCGCATGGCAAAAAGTACACTCTTTGTGATGGGCCAAAAAAGGCACACGTTACAGTTGTTGCCGGCTTAGAATTCCCTTTTTAAAAATAAATGTTTGAACACCAAAGCTTCCAGCGACGGAAAAGAAAACATTGGGGTGTGTCTATGCTGCAATATGAATCCACTATGCTATGGAATCACAGGAGCTGTAGTTTGACAAGTTCTGAAGCCCATCTGCCAAAAAAAAGCAGATGCCTCACCAAACTATAAAGCCCAAGACTGCAGAGTATTGAGCCCTGGCCATTGAATTAGAGATGACATCCCCCAAACAGGAGCTCCAGACACAAGTCCTGAAGCAGCTTCCCCTTTGGCTTTGGCTCAGAACTAAGGTGACTGTATGATGTGGATCTAATGCGCACCCTGATTTTGGTGAGGTATTTTAGCCCAAAAAGGTGAGCATTAGATTTGAATAAATAGCGTATTCTTCAGGAGCAAAACTGGGGACTGCCTCGTTTTCATTATCAGTGCCCAGTGATGGCAAGGGAAACCCCAAAGAGATTCATGGGCCATGATCTGCTCTGTCGGGTCGACGGGACCGTAATGCTGGCAGCCCAAAAGCCGGAATGCTACAGGCCACCCCTGGCCTCAAGATCAAGCTTACCTCAGAGCCCAGAAAGGGCATGGACTCACCGCAAAGCTGCACTGAGGAGATGAGGATCTGGAGGATGGGGAAGAACCACAGCCACCTGGACCCCATCCCTGCCATCGAATAGTGGAGGAAGTGAACCCAGTGAGGATCAGGGCTCTTTGTCCCGTCCGGGTGCAGTTGCCTGGCAAAGCGGAGAAATCTCAGTGCATTGGAAGCTTCCCGGGAAGCCAGAGCTGAGCTGGCAAAACAAGAAGGACTTTGGTTCACAAAGAAGCCGAGGAGGGATAAGAAGGAGAGAGTCAAAGTCCTGGTGACATCAGCAAGGAGGGGGCATGAGTAGCTTGGCTGGCACCTTGAGGGAAACGTCCCTCTCATTCTTGCATCCGCACTGTGGGACAAATGCTGTTTCGAGCCCCACTTTGGGACCGCCCTGGCTCAAGACTCTGGGAGCCTGGGAGTGGTCATTTCCTAAGGGCAAAGCAGACCAGAGCCTTGCCAAACTTCAGGTCCCAAGGGGCCCTCGCCTCGAGTGGGATCCAAACCGCATTAAGCCCACTGTGTAGATGTACCCAGGGAAGACAATGGATTTGCCAAGCAACAGATCCTGGGACTCTCTAGCATTGAACATTAAGATCAAATTTCAAAATGACCTTCACAGATGAGAGAGACAAATGGCCAAAACTAACAAAATGCATTTCAACAAGGACAAATGTAAGATACGACACTTAGGCAGAAAAAAATGAAATGCAAAGATACAGAATGGGAGACACCGGCTTGACAACAGCCCAGGTGAGAAACATCTTGGAGTCTTTGTGGACAAGAGACTGAACATGAACCAAGAGTGTGATGCAGCAGCTCAAAAACCCAATAGGATGTTGGGGTGCATCCAAAGGAGTCTAGTTTCGAGATCGAGGGAAGTCGTGGTGCCTCTCTATTCAGCTTTGGTCAGACCTCTTTACCTGGAATCACACTGTATCCAATTCTGGGCCCCACAGTTCAAAAGAGGTATGATAAGCTGGAAGGTGTCCAGAGGAAGAGGTTGACTAAAATGATCAAAGGTCTGGAGACCATGAATAATCCCTTTGAGAGTGTCTTAAAAACTGGTTCCGTTTAGCCAGTAGAAGAAAAGGTGGAGAGGAGGCATGAGAGCCATGTATAATATGGGAAAAGGTGTCATTAGGAAGAGAAAACTGGCTTGTTTTCTGCTGCCCTTGAAACTAGGAGTAGGAAAGGAGTTTCCACTTGAACATTAGGAAGAACTTCCTGACTGTACGAAGAGCTGTTCAACAGTGGAACTCTCTGCTTCAAAGTTCAGTGGAAGCTCCTTTCTTTGAAGCTTTTAAAAAGAGGTCGAATGGCCATCTGTCAAGGATACCTTGATTATGCTTTTTCTGCATGGCAGGGGGTTGGACTAGATGGCCCAAGGGGTCTCTTCCAACTTTATGATTCTATGAACCAGGGCAGTCCAAGTGGGGTCAAATGGCAATCATTCACCACTGTAGATGCACCCTTAGATACAGCCTTTGTCTGGGGATCATATCATTGTCCCATTCTTTGTCCAAATGGGGTTTTTTGACCGTTTCTCAGTCCCGAGGGTCAAAAAGGACCTATTGTCTTCCCAAGAACAGCCTGAGATCCAACTTTGAGCCAAGGAGCTGCCCTTTGCCCACCTGGGCTTCAAAGCTCGGGTTGGAAAGGTCAAATGAAGAGACTTTGGGGGCTGGCATGATGGGTCAAAGGAGTGCAGTTTGACCCCACTGGAACTGCCCTGGCTCAAGGCCGGGAGTTGACACTTGGCGAGACTGAGAAGGGGACTGACCAGATGCCTAGGATTGTAGAGGATGGAGCCAGGGCAAATCAAGGGGTTCCAAGCAAGCCCACCAGAGCCTTAGCTACTCACTCACAATCCCAGCTTCTTCCTTTCTCTCTCTCTCAGGATCAGGAGCCTATTCCCCTTCCAGTGTCTGCTTCCCGGCCCTTGTTGACTTGAGTCACGTGGGAGGCCTCTTCCAGCTGCTGAAGTCAGCTGTTTGGGGTTTTTTTTCCTGCCAAAAGAGAAGGAAGGAAGTTGCGAAACTGGCAGAGAGGCAGAATACACAAGTGACAGACAACGCCAGGGAATGGCCTTCGCCAGGCAGTAGTTGGCAAAGGCAGGATAATGCGATAGTAATGATAATGTGCCTTTCGTGTTCTTTGATTTGTGTCTGGGCACTGCTGCGTTTGGGGGTCCCTATGTAGACGTCTTGTCCACAGCTGCCTGGTATACAGTAGACTCCTGCAGAGGTGAAAGGATCCCTCTTATCCTTTGCTGAATGCAGCATTCGGTGGATTTTCTGACTGGGTCTGTAGATAGTTTGGAGGTTGTGTTTCTTCATTAGGGATGAATCAAGGAACATGAAAGGCGCTGCAGGCTGATTCAACCAGAGATGTCAGCCATTGCAGAGCACTTGAATTCCAGACAGGAAACAACCAGGGCCAGCTAACACCTCCCAAAGGATTCCCCCAGGCAGGAAGCAGCCAGGCTTTGAAGCTGCAAGGCTACTCAGTGTTAATCAAGTTGGCCAATGGCAACATTCCCACTTGCCTCCAACTGTCAAGTCCTTTCTCCCACCCTGCACATTATTCCACATATATATAAACCCCACTTGTCTAGATTCCAACAAATCTCACAACCTCTGAGGACGCCTGCCATAGATGTGAGCGAAACGTCAGGAGAGAATGTTTCTGGAAAATGGCCACGCAGGCCAGAAAACTCACCCATTACTGGGTTGTTATAAGTTTTTGGGGCTGTATGGCCATGTTCCAGAAGCATTCTCTCCTGACATTTCGCCTGCATCTATGGCAGGCATCCTCAGTGGTTGTGGCGTCTGTTGGAAACTAGGAAAATGGGATTTATATATCTGTGGAATGTCCGGGGTGGGAGAAAGAACTCTTGTCTGTTGGAGCTAGGTGTGAATGTTTCAATTGGCCACCTCGATTAGCATTTAATGGCATGGCAGTTTCAAGGTGTTGCTTCTTACTGCCTGGGGAAGTCCTTTGTTGAGAGGTGATTAGCTGTCCCTGCTTGTTTCTTGTCTGGAGTTCCCCTGTGTTTGAGTCTTATTTACTGTTATGATGATTTTAGAGTTTTTTAATACTAGTAGCCAGATTTTGTTCATTTTAATGGTTTCCTCTTTTCTGTTAAAATTGTCCACCTGCTTATGGATTTCAATGGTTTTTCTGTGTAGACTTCACAACCTCTGAGGATGCCTGCCATAGATGCAGGCAAAACGTCAGGAGAGAATGCTTCTGGAACATGGCCACACAGCCCGAAAAACTTACAGCCCGGTGATTCCGGCCATAAAAGCCTTCGACAACTTCTTCTTGTTCTTCTTCTTCTTCTTATTATTATTATTAGAAACACAACAAGATGAGTCCACAGCAGACACTCTGCTGGCTGTTGTATTGGATCACACGTCGGACACTTCCCAGGTGTCTAGGACTGTGTGATGTATCGGTGAATAAAGCATGCAGATCCTAGTAAGGTGGCTTTCTGCAGCTGGCAGATGGTAATTTTGTCAGCGCCGATTGTGTTTAAGTGCAGGCCAAGGTCTTTAGGCACTGCACCTAGTGTGCCGATCACCACTGGGACCACCTTGACTGGTGTGTGCCAGAGTCTTTGCAGTTCAATCTTTAAATCCTCATATTGTGTCAGATTTTCCAGTTGTTTCTTTTTCTATATTGTTATTTATTTATTATTTTTATATTTATATTTTTTATATTTATTTATATTATAATAGCTGTCCCTTGCCACATGTTGCTGTGGCCCACATGGGGGTTCTGTGTGGGACGTTTGGCCCAATTCTATTGTTGGTGGTGTTTAGAATGCTCTGTGATTGTAGGTGAACTATATATCCCAGCAACAAGGTAAAGGTTGTCCCCTGACATTAAGTCCAGTCATGTCTGACTCTGGGGTGTGGTGCTCATCTCCATTTCTAAGCCGAAGAGCCAGCGTTGTCCATAGACACCTCCAAGGTCATGTGGCCAGCATGACCGCATGGAGCGCCGTTACCTTCCCGCCGGAGCGGTACCTATTGATCTACTCACATTTGCATGTTTTGAACTGCTAGGTTGGCAGAAGCTAGGGCTGACAGCGGAAGCTCACGCCGCTCCCTGGAATCGAACCTGCGACCTTTTGGTCAACAAGCTCAGCAGCTCAGTGCTTTAACCCACTGAGTTTGGTCCAGATCCATCATTGTTTGAGTCCACAGTGATCTCTGGATGTAGGTGAACTACAACTCCAAAACCAAAGGACACTGCCCACCAAACCCTTCCAGTATTTTCTGTTGGTCATGGGAGAACTGTGTGCCAAGTTTGGTTCAATTCCATCGTTGGTGGGGTTCAGAATGCTCTTTGATTGTAGGTGAACTATAAATCCCAGCAACTACAACTCCCAAATGACAAAATCATTTTTTTTGAGTGAAGGACATACATTGGGTTGTTAGGTGTCTTGTGTCCAAATTTGGTGTCAATTCGTCCAGTGGTTTTTGAGTTCTGTTAATCCCACAAACGAACATTACATTTTTATTTATATAGATATTCTCTTTATATTATATATTTATTATTATTATCATTATTATTATTATTATTATTATTATTATTATTATTATTATTATTATTATTATTATAGAACAGCACAACAACAGAGAGGAAACAAACAAGGACATCTAATCACCTCTCAACAAAAGATTGCTCCAGGCACTGCCAGGCAATCAAATGCTAATCAAGGTGGTCAGTTGAAACATTCACACCTAGCTCTAACAGACAAGAGTCCTTTGTCCCACTCTGGTCATTCCAGGAACTTTTTCCTAGTTCCAACAGACCTCACTACCTCTGCGGATGCTTGCCATAGATGCAGGCGAAACGTCAGGAGAAAATGCCTCTAGAACATGGCCATATAGCTCGAAAAAAACCTACAACAACCCGGTGATTCCGGCCATGAAAGCCTTCGACAGTACATTATTATTATTATTATTATTATTATTATTATTATTATTATTATTATTATGGATTCTATAGGATTGTAATCCCACGGCAGAAGCGGTGTCCATAGAATCCATAATAATAATAATAATAATAATGGCAAGCATCCTCAGTGGTGTGCATCCGCCGTGGGATTACAATCCTATAGAATCCATAATAATAATAATAATAATAATAATAATAATAATAATGGCAAGCATCCTCAGTGGTGTGCATCTGCCGTGGGATTACAATCCTATAGAATCCATAATAATAATAATAATAATAATAATAATAATAATAATAATGGCAAGGATCCTCAGAGGTGCGCTTCCGCCGTGGGATTACAATCCTATAGAATCTATAATAATAATAATAATAATAATAATAATAATAATAATAATAATAATGGCAAGCATCCTCAGAGGTGTGCATCCGCCGTGGAATTACAATCCTATAGAATCCATAATAATAATAATAATAATAATAATAATAATAATAAATGGCAAGGTCCTCAGTGGTGTGCATCCGCCGTGGGATTACAATCCATAGAATCCATAATAATAATAATAATAATAATGGCAAGGATCCTCAGTGGTGTGCATCCGCCGTGGGATTACAATCCTATAGAATCCATAATAATAATAATAATAATAATAATAATAATAATAATAATAATGGCAAGGATCCTCAGAGGTGTGCATCCGCCGTGGGATTACAATCCTATAGAATCCATAATAATAATAATAATAATAATAATAATAATAATAATAATAATGGCAAGCATCCTCAGTGGTGTGCATCCGCCGTGGGATTACAATCCTATAGAATCCATAATAATAATAATAATAATAATAATAATAATAATAATAATGATAATAATAATGGCAAGGATCCTCAGAGGTGCGCTTCCGCTGTGGGATTACAATCCTATAGAATAATAATAATAATAATAATAATAATAATAATAATAATAATAATGGCAAGCATCCTCAGTGGTGTGCATCCGCCGTGGGATTACAATCCTATAGAATCCATAATAATAATAATAATAATAATAATAATAATAATAATAATGGCAAGCATCCTCAGTGGTGTGCATCTGCCGTGGGATTACAATCCTATAGAATCCATAATAATAATAATAATAATAATAATAATGATAATAATAATGGCAAGGATCCTCAGAGGTGCGCTTCCGCTGTGGGATTACAATCCTATAGAATCCATCATAATAATAATAATAATAATAATAATAATAATAATAATAATGGCAAGCATCCTCAGTGGTGTGCATCCGCCGTGGGATTACAATCCTATAGAATCCATAATAATAATAATAATAATAATAATAATAATAATAATAATGGCAAGCATCCTCAGTGGTGTGCATCCGCCGTGGGATTACAATCCTATAGAATCCATAATAATAATAATAATAATAATAATAATAATAATAATGGCAAGGATCCTCAGAGGTGCGCTTCCGCCGTGGGATTACAATCCTATAGAATCTATAATAATAATAATAATAATAATAATAATAATAATAATAATAATAATGGCAAGCATCCTCAGTGGTGTGCATCCGCCGTGGGATTACAATCCTATAGAATCCATAATAATAATAATAATAATAATAATAATAATAATAATGGCAAGCATCCTCAGTGGTGTGCATCCGCCGTGGGATTACAATCCTATAGAATCCATAATAATAATAATAATAATAATAATAATAATAATAATGGCAAGGATCCTCAGAGGTGTGCATCCGCCGTGGGATTACAATCCTATAGAATCCATAATAATAATAATAATAATAATAATAATAATAATAATAATAATGGCAAGCATCCTCAGTGGTGTGCATCCGCCGTGGGATTACAATCCTATAGAATCCATAATAATAATAATAATAATAATAATAATAATAATAATGGCAAGGATCCTCAGAGGTGTGCATCCGCCGTGGGATTACAATCCTATAGAATCCATAATAATAATAATAATAATAATAATAATAATAATAATAATGGCAAGGATCCTGAGGTGTGCATCCGCCGTGGGATTACAATCCTATAGAATCCATAATAATAATAATAATAATAATAATAATAATAATAATAATAATGGCAAGCATCCTCAGAGGTGTGCATCCGCCGTGGAATTACAATCCTATAGAATCCATAATAATAATAATAATAATAATAATAATAATGGCAAGCATCCTCAGTGGTGTGCATCCGCCGTGGGATTACAATCCTATAGAATCCATAATAATAATAATAATAATAATAATAATAATAATAATGATAATAATAATGGCAAGGATCCTCAGAGGTGCGCTTCCGCTGTGGGATTACAATCCTATAGAATCCATAATAATAATAATAATAATAATAATAATAATAATAATAATGGCAAGCATCCTCAGTGGTGTGCATCCGCCGTGGGATTACAATCCTATAGAATCCATAATAATAATAATAATAATAATAATAATAATAATAATGGCAAGCATCCTCAGTGGTGTGCATCTGCCGTGGGATTACAATCCTATAGAATCCATAATAATAATAATAATAATAATAATAATAATAATAATAATAATGGCAAGGATCCTCAGAGGTGCGCTTCCGCCGTGGGATTACAATCCTATAGAATCCATAATAATAATAATAATAATAATAATAATAATAATGGCAAGCATCCTCAGTGGTGTGCATCCGCCGTGGGATTACAATCCTATAGAATCCATAATAATAATAATAATAATAATAATAATAATAATAATGGCAAGCATCCTCAGTGGTGTGCATCCGCCGTGGGATTACAATCCTATAGAATCCATAATAATAATAATAATAATAATAATAATAATAATAATAATGGCAAGGATCCTCAGAGGTGCGCTTCCGCCGTGGGATTACAATCCTATAGAATCTATAATAATAATAATAATAATAATAATAATAATAATAATAATGGCAAGCATCCTCAGTGGTGTGCATCCGCCGTGGGATTACAATCCTATAGAATCCATAATAATAATAATAAATAATAATAATGGCAAGCATCCTCAGTGGTGTGCATCCGCCGTGGGATTACAATCCTATAGAATCCATAATAATAATAATAATAATAATAATAATAATAATAATAATGGCAAGGATCCTCAGAGGTGTGCATCCGCCGTGGAATTACAATCCTATAGAATCCATAATAATAATAATAATAATAATAATAATAATAATATAATGGCAAGCATCCTCAGTGGTGTGCATCCGCCGTGGGATTACAATCCTATAGAATCCATAATAATAATAATAATAATAATAATAATAATAATAATGGCAAGCATCCTCAGTGGTGTGCATCTGCCGTGGGATTACAATCCTATAGAATCCATAATAATAATAATAATAATAATAATAATAATGGCAAGCATCCTCAGTGGTGTGCATCCGCCGTGGGATTACAATCCTATAGAATCCATAATAATAATAATAATAATAATAATAATAATAATAATGGCAAGCATCCTCAGAGGTGTGCATCCGCCGTGGAATTACAATCCTATAGAATCCATAATAATAATAATAATAATAATAATAATAATAATAATGGCAAGCATCCTCAGAGGTGTGCATCCGCCGTGGAATTACAATCCTATAGAATCCATAATAATAATAATAATAATAATAATAATAATAATAATGGCAAGCATCCTCAGTGGTGTGCATCCGCCGTGGGATTACAATCCTATAGAATCCATAATAATAATAATAATAATAATAATAATAATAATAATGGCAAGCATCCTCAGTGGTGTGCATCTGCCGTGGGATTACAATCCTATAGAATCCATAATAATAATAATAATAATAATAATAATAATAATAATAATAATAATGGCAAGCATCCTCAGAGGTAGTGAGGTCTGTTGGAACAAGGGAAAAGGGTTTATATATCTGTGGAATGACCAGAGTGGGACAAAGGACTCTTGTCTGTTGGAGCCAGGTGTGAATGTTTCAACTGATCACCTTAATTAACATTTGATTGCCTGGCAGTGCCTGGAGCAATCCTTTGTTGAGAGGTGATTAGATGTCCTTGTTTGTTTCCTCTCTGTTGTTGTGCTGTTCTATAATAATAATAATAATAATAATAATAATAATAATAATAATAATATATTTATAAAAATATAAATAAAAATGTAGAAGCCAATATAAATAAAAATGTAGAAGCCAATATAAATAAAAATGTAGAAGCTAGAAGCCAATCTCTCTCTGTATTGTCGAAGGCTTTCATGGCTGGAATCACTAGGTTCTTGTGGGTTTTTTCGGGCTATAGCCATGTTCTAGAGGCATTTCTCCTGACGTTTCGCCTGCATCTATGGCAAGCATCCTCAGAGGTAGTGAGGTCTGTTGGAAATAGGAAAATGGGTTTATATATCTGTGGAATGGCTGGGGTGGGGCAAAGAGCTCTTCTCTGCTGAAGCTAGGTGTGAATGTTTCAGCTGACCACCTTCATTAGCATTTGAAGGCCTGGCTGAGCCTGGGAAAATGTTCTGTTGAGAGGCTCAGCCAGGCCTTCAAATGCTAATGAAGGTGGTCAGCTGAAACATTCACACCTAGCTCCAGCAGAGAAGAGCTCTTTGCCCCACCCCAGCCATTCCACAGATATATAAACCCATTCCTATTTCCAACAGACCTCACTACCTCTGAGGATGCTTGCCATAGATGCAGGCGAAACGTAAGGAGAAATGCCTCTAGAACATGGCCCTATAGCCCGAAAAAACCCACAAGAACCAATCTCTCTCTCTTTGTCTTTCCCTCCATCCCCCCCCCCCCCCCACTTGCCTCTGAGGCCCATCTCAAGCCGTCCATTCTGGTGCCTGCTCCGAACGTCTATTTTTGTTTTGTTTATTTCTTCGGGCCAATTCCAATCGCGGAGGGGGGCGGGGGCAAAGAGGCCTCTTCTCCCTTCTTCCGAGGTCTCTGGGGAAGGGGGCGGAGTGGGTTTGATGCAGGCATCACAGAAGACACCCAGGGGTCCTGAGAGCCTGCGGTAGGTGGGCGGGGCTTGCGGGGCTGAGTGGCACGTGGGAATCAGAGGCAAGATGGGCGGCCTAGAGAAGAAGAAGGTAAAAGGCTGGGCCGCGGAGGGACTGGGGCAGGCATGGGCCAGCTTGGGCCCTCGGGGTGTTTTGGACTTTAATTCCCTCAGTTCCTAACTCCGGGGGGGGGGCATGTCTAGACTGGGGGCGGCTCTGGCTTCCTCAGGTGGGTGCTCTCCTCAACCAGAGTCATGCCTGCTCTTTCCTCTTTTCTCCCCCTTCGGAAGTATGAGCGGGGCTCGGCCACCAACTATATCACGCGGAACAAGGCCCGGAAGAAACTCCAACTCAGCCTTCCGGACTTCAGGTAAGGGGAGGCCCTTTCTAGGCAATCTTGAGGACCTCCGGCATCACTCGGTGCTCGTAGAAGCGCACAAGAGGACCGAGAAAGGCCAAAGAGGGGCTCCCTGGCTTCCAGGTTGTTTCTGGGCGCAGCTCAAGGTGCTGGACTTTAGCCTATAAAGACTTAAACCAGCAGCACTGCTGGTCACAGCTGACCTCTAGTGAGAGTGCTCAAAGTCCTCGATGTCTATGCCACAGTTTTTAAGGTTGGCTTTAAGCCCATCTTTAAATTATTACTATTATTATTTATTTAGAAGTTTTCTATACCGGTCTTCTCACCTCTACGAGGGACTCAGGCCGGTTTGCAGCATATATGCAAATTGCAATAATATACAAAAACAAGGTACATCAACATTACAGATTAAAGTAGTACAGTAAAACATCATCATCTCACTACCCAAGCCAAATCGTCATACAATCACAGTCATAGTCGTAGTCACAGTTCATCCTCCTCCTTCCATGTGGACGAAGGTTATGGTATCAGTCCTCGAAAGCCATGTTCCACAGCAAGGTCTTTATTAGTTTCCTGAAAGTCAGGAGGGAGGGAGCAGATCTAATCTCTAGTGGGAGGGAGTTCCAAAGCCAGGGAGCCACCACCGAGAAGGCCCTGTCTCTTGTTCCCACCAGACACGATTGCGAAGGAGGTGGGACCGAGAGCAGGGCCCCTCCGGAAGATCTTAATAACTTTGATGGTTCTCTTTTCCTGTCCACCAACATTACTTTTCCCATTCTTAAGTTGGGAGCAGAGCAGCATTTCTCAACCTGGGGGTTGGGACCCCTGGGGGGGTCGGGAGGGGGTGTCAAACGGGTCACCAAAGATCATCATAAAACACAGTATTTTCTGTTGGTCATGGGGGTTCTGTGTGGGAAGTTTGGCCCAATTCTACCATCGGTGAGGTTCAGAATGCCCATTGATTGTAGGTGAACTATAAATCCCAGAGACCACAACTCCCAAATGTCAAGGTCTATTTCCCTCCAAACTCCACCGGTGTTTACATTTGGGCATATTGAGTATTCGTGCCAAGTTTGGTCCAGATCCATCATTGTTTGAGTCCATGGCAAAAGTATGATAGCTGGGACCCAGTGCTAGTTGCGCAACATGGGTCAGAATTAGAGAAGCAAAGACGTGCGCAAGACAGCATTACGTTTATAGCACACTTCATCCACATGTAATTCAGTTAAGTTTGAGTGAAAGTGAAGAATGCTTTAAAAATGGCAGCTACCAATAGCTGAGAATGAATCCGCCGTATTGCCCACATCTTCCCTTCTCTAATTCTGACCCGTGTTGTGCAACCAGCATTGGGTCCCAGCTATCATACTTTTGCCGAGTCGACAGTGCTCTCTGGATGTAGGTGAACGACAGCTCCGAAACTCAAGGTCAATGCCCACCAAACCCTTCCAGTATTTTCTGTTGGTCGTGGGTGTTCTGTGTGCCAAGTTTGGCCCAATTCCATCGTTGGTGGGATCCAGAATGCTCTTTGATCATATTGTGAACTATAAATCCCAGCAACTACAACTCCCAAATGACAAAATCAATCCCCCTCTCCAATGCCACCAGTATTCAAATTTGGTCGTATGGGGTATTTGTGCCCAATTTGGTCCAGTGAATGAAAATACATCCCTCATATCAGATATTTACGTTGCGATTCATAACTGTAGCAAAATTACAGTTATGAAGTGGCAATGAAAATAATGTTATGGTTAGGGGTCACCACAACATGAGGAACTGTATTAAGGGGGGCGCCACATTAGGAAGGTTGAGAACCACTGCCTTAAACGGTTTGGGCCCAGCCTACTTGAGGGACTTTATCTCCTCCTACCACCCCACACAAGCCCAGACATCATCAGGAGAGGCCCTTCTCTCAGTCCCACCACCGTCACAAGTGTGATTTGTGGGAACAAGAGAGAGGGCCTTTTTGGTGGTGGCCCCGCAGCTCTGGATGACCCTTCCCAGAAAAGTGTAATTGGCCCCCTCCTTGCTGGCCTTTCACTCACAAGTTAAAACCTTTCTGTGGAATCAGGCCTTTCCCAATACCCTATAACAGGAAATGACCAGACAGCTATAGGTAAGACATATCACTGAATGCTATTTCAGACTTAGCAATGTTTACATGGTCTAAAGAAGCGGAGCTTTTAGGATCTTTAGTATAATGTTTTGATAGATAACCTCAGTGGCCTGAGGCCCAGGAAAGTTTTAATGGTACATGTCGTATTTATTAAGCTTGTTTTATATGGTTTATGTAATGTGCAGTTGGTTTCTGTTTAATTTAGTTTATGATGCTGTTCTTTTTTGTTGATTTTAACCATTGTATGCCACTTTGAATCCCACCCATGGGAGAAAAGCAGGATAAAAATAAATAAGTAATAAAATAATACAAGGACCCTAGAGGACCCAGAGATCCCCCAAGAGGCGTTCCCTGAAGATATCTATGGCCTCCAGCAATTATTGGAGGAAGATGGACATAGAGTCACACTAAAGGACCTAGAGATTCCTAGAGAGGGGTTTTATGTATTATTATTGCAGGAGGATCTAGATTGCTATAGAGGATGCCTCCCTAGGAATTTCTTGGTCCTCTAGTATGACTCTATACCCATCTTCCTCGGGTTCATGCCAGAGGACCTACAGATAATAATATTCATTATTATTATTATTATTATTATTATTATTATTATTATTTTAATATATTAATAATAAATGAGAATGATGACCATAGAATCACACTAGAGGAGCCATAGATTCCTAGAGATGGGTTATCCAGCAATTATTGGAGGAAGCTAACTATAGAGTCTCACTAAAGAACCTAGAAAGCTGGGGGGGGGGGGTTATCACTAGAAATCCCTCACATGACTGGAGGAAGCTGGCCATAGAGTCACTCTAGAGGACCCAGGGATCCCTAGAGAGGGGCTCTTTGGAGGACCTCGAGTGAACACTGGTAATCAAACCCACCAAAGTCCAAAGCACTGATGTGGAGGGACAGCTGTGCATGAACTACCCTGGCTTCCTGTTATGGGATCCTAGTTGTTGTCGTTTGGCCCCTTTGGGAGAGAAGGTGCAAGGCCTTGTCCGACTACAACTCCTAGGGTTCCGCAGCTGCTAAAGTGGTGTCAAACTGCATTTGTTCAGCAGTGGAGATACCCTCTTGAATAGTGGCCCTTTCCTTTCCCAGGCGCCTCTGCATCCTGAAGGGCATCTACCCACACGAGCCCAAGCACAAGAAGAAAGTCAACAAAGGCTCCACGGCACCCCGGACCTTCTACCTCATCAAGGACATCAAGTTCCTTCTCCACGAGCCCATCGTCCACAAGTTCCGGGAGTATAAGGTCTGCTCTGTGCCCCCGCTCCTCTCTTAGACACCCTTGCTCTTGGGACCTTGTCCTATGCTTGCTTTTGGGGGATACTAAATGGGTGTTAGACAGTTGCTGAAAGCAGGATGAGTCTCCAATGCCTCTCCCTCCTGCAGGTGTTTGTTCGGAAGCTGCGCAAAGCCTATGGGAAGAGCGAGTGGAATGCCGTTCAGCGGCTGAGAGACAACAAGCCTGGCTATAAGTTGGACCACATTGTCAAGGAGAGGTAAATGTTGCATCAGAGCCAGTTAGGGTCCAAAGAGCAAGGGTCTGGAGTTTAGAAGCTCTAGCATGGTGTCATGGTTGGCATGTGTGATCTGAACTCATGTGTAGATCTTTTCTTAGTGTAGCAATAGGGCAAGAGGTTCCACGAAGAGTCGTTGAAACTTATGTCTTCTATATGCTAGCTTAGCCACCCGGCGATGCCTGGGTTAGGTCTTTTGTAACACTATTTATTAGAAAATGGCATTCATAACCTTTTGGAAAACATCATTTGACTATAATAACTTTTTAGCAAAAGCATGACCTTTCAGAGAAGAGCCAAACACCCTTTAGAGTAGAATCTTCTCTTGTGGTATGCAGATATAATTATGCACAGCAATGGTTTCAGTTGTCAGACTGAATAACCTGTTATCTCTGATCTGTTAGGAAAACAGAGATTTGCCAGTGCATAAAAACAGCAGAGCTTTAAAAGTGTTTTTCGGTGCCCAAATATATATGGATTCTCCCATAAAACAACTTGTTTATATCATGCACTCAAGAGACAAAATGAAGCAGACTTTGATAAAAATAACATATTTGATTTACTCACAACCTTCATGTGTTGAGCATATACAGGTACAAAACTTTTCAGTCCGGTTTCAGATATGTTTGAGATGATTCTCTGTGCCATCCGGCCAGGGTATCTCTCTTGTAACATCTATCAACAGGCCACATAGTCACAAGGAGAGAGATAGAGCATGGCCATGTGGTCTGCAGCCCCTTTTCTAACTTCTCAGGAACGATAGAGTAAAGGAAGCTACATACCAGAACATACATACAGGAAACAATAAGCAACAGGATCATAGATAAACAAAACAATAAGCAACAGGATCATAGATAAACGAACATATTACTAGAGAAGGCTTGAAGAAGGTCATCATTTCAAAAAATTAGCAGTAGTAATTTATGTATTGTTTTTAAATGTTCTAATTGTTTTAATGTACTTTTAAATTCTATTTTAACATTTATTTAAGCGTACATGGTGTTTTATGGCATCGAATTGTTGCCTATATGTAAAGCTGCCTTGAGTCCCCTCCAGGGTAAGAAAGGCAGGGTAGAAATGTCGCAAATAAATAAATAGTCACTGTCTGGTTTGGGATTTTATGAATGATCCCATTAGAAATGCACATGGCTCTCTGGACCCATGGGACTGTGGATGTGGAGGTGGATGGACTACATCTCCCGTCAAATCCGGTCCATTTCCCCCAAACTTCGCCAGCATTTTCAGTTGGTCCTTACAGATGTGTATGCCAGGTTTGGTCCAAATCCATTGTTGGTGGGGTTCAGAGTAGCCTTCAGATGCAGGGGGAAACTACCACTCCCATCATCCTGGGTCAACCCCCCCCCCCCCCAAAAAAAAACAACCCTGCCATTACTTAAAGTTGGTCTCTGAATGTGGAAGCCATCTTGGAAAATGCATACAAGCCGACAGATACAAACATATTTTCACTTTAGATAGATAGTTAGATGTATAGATCTTGAGAGGCAGGTATCAAATATTATTGCTGCTGTTGTTATGATTTTGTTATGCTTCCTTTCCTCTTTGTGGCATCAGGTACCCGACCTTCATTGACGCCCTGCGCGACCTGGATGATGCCCTTTCCATGTGCTTCCTCTTTGCCACCTTTCCCCGCACCGGCAAGTGTCATGTCCAGACCATCCAGCTCTGCCGCCGGTTGACCGTGGAATTCCTCAACTACGTGGTCGCTTCCCGCGCCCTGCGCAAAGTGAGCAACAGCTTGATCCGTGCTCTTAGGAGACCTGCCGATTGGATGGCATGAGAGCCATGCCTCGCTGGCCAACGTGCGCAGAGGGGGTCTCCCTTACTGTGTGTGCTCTTTTCCAGGTCTTCCTGTCCATTAAGGGCATCTACTACCAGGCAGAGGTAATGGGGCAGCTGGTCACCTGGATCACTCCGTATGCCTTTTCCCACAACGTGAGTCTCTTTGGGTTTCATGTACTTTTTTCAAACTCTGTTTCCTGCCCTCATATTGCACTTTGGATTGGGCAGCATCTGCCCTTCTCTCTGCAATTGGCGCCTGCTCCCTCTTCCAATTCAGAGCCATTAAAATAATCAGAATAATCATTTTATTTCTTATTTGCCTCTCCTCAAGGCTCGATGTTGGGCACAATACATCATCTTAAAACATTGTGCAAAAATGCACAGATTAAAATGTACTTCTGTGAAATATATGTATTACAATGCACAGTACAAAAAGATTCAACACAGAACACGAGTGGTAATAATGCACTTTCAGGGGAGAAATCCACATTGAAGAAGTCATGGAAGGCCCTCATTGCTGAGCTTTGATTATAGTCATGGAGACTCCAGGGCCAGAGTGCTCCTATCAACTCTGCTCTTAATTCTAGAATCATAAAAGTGTCAGGATGTAGAATGTTATTGGTTTCTTTGATTGAGCTCCACTGTCCCAATTCTTTGTGGGCTTCAATCGCCAAACCTAGATGGGTGAATGGCTTGTTTGAAAAAAGTCCAGAGCTTTGCGGCAACAACTTACAAAGGAGGCTGACTTATGCCCCAAGTATGGGGAAAGGAGCCCCCGTTGGCTCAGTGGGTTAAACTGCTGAGCTACTGAACTTGTTAACCAAAAGGTCATAGGTTCAAATCCGGGGAGTGTCGTAAGCTCCTGCTGTTAGCCCCAGCTTCTGCCAACCTAGCAGTTTAAAAACATGCAAATGTGAGTAGATCAATAGGTACCACTCCAGCAGGAAAGTAATGACGCTCCATGCAGTCATGCCGGCCACATGACATTGGAGGTGTCTACTGACAACGCCAGCTCTTCGGCTTAGAAATGGAGATGAGCACCAACCCCCAGAGTCGGACACGACTGGACTTAATATCAGGGGAAAACCATTACCTTAGTATGGGGAACGTGTCTCTTCTTGAATTGTTGGCAGCATTGATGGGTTCCATCATACAAATGTGTTGAATGCTCATGAAACAGTTGTGCTTTCCCTGCCTCGTTGCAGCATCCAACCGACGTGGATTACCGAGTGATGGCCACCTTCACAGAGTTCTACACCACCCTCCTGGGCTTTGTCAACTTCCGCCTCTACCAGTCCCTCAACCTGCATTACCCCCCAAAAGTCAGTGAAGGAAGGGGGGCTTTAGGGGAGTCCAACTTTTTCTGGGTTGGGAAATAATAATAATAATAATAATAATAATAATTTGTAATCATCTGTCTTTCAGATTGAAGGCTCACCTTTAGTTGAACAGAAGCCGGAGCAAGAGGAGTTGTATGCTTTGGACTCAGAGAGCTATTTGGAGGTGTGTGTGCCAGGACTCTGCTAGGGAGAGTTACCTTTCTTAGACTATAGCATTCTGGGCAGAACCCCCCCCCCCCCCCAAAAAAAAAAGACCTTTTCCCAGATCAAGATTGATAATAATAACAACAAAAACCCACCCTCTCTCTCCAAAGTGACTCAGGGTGGTTTCCAAAGAATAACAAAAATGGCAAACATTCAATGCCAAAAACAAACAAACAATCAAGATGAAACATGAAATAAAATAAATTCCATAAAATGATCCCCCCTGAGTCTGCCCCAAATGGTCTCCTTCTTCTGTTTCCCTGGAGTCCAGCTTTTCTCAAACCAGTGCTCTCTCAAAACCTGGGACCGCCAAGTCCCAGGATCCCCAATTGGATCTTGGAATTCACAGGCCTGCCTATCTTTATTTGACTTCCCGGGCCCAGTCTCCTCACATCTGTATTCATTGCCGGCCTGTTTTCTCCCTTTCCAGAAACTGTCTGCCTTGAGTGCTAGCTTGGCTCGAACGGTCGCCCCTAGCCCAGAGGAGGAGGAGGCCGAAGTGGACGAATTCCCCGTGGAAGGAGTGAGTGTCACCTCCATGTGTTGCCATTTTGAGAGGAAAGCAATTCCTTGAGGGCTTGCAAGGGGGAAGATGGGCTCCTGACCCTCGCTGCCACCTTCCCCTGCTTCCTATCCGTTTCTCGTACTGCAGGAAAGCGCAGAAGAAGAAGATGCCCGGAAGAAGGAGCAGGAGGCCCTGGAGAAGCAGAGAAAACTCTTTGAGGGGCTTCGCTTCTTCCTCAATCGGGAGGTGCCCCGGGAGCCACTGGCGTTCGTCATCCGGTACGTTGAGATGGGAAGACTTCCTTTGTGGGATCCTGATAGACTCCTCCTTCCAAGCTCCGCTTATGAGACAAAGGGGTGGGGTGGAGTATTGACTGCTCTGTTGCTTTTTGCGTCTCTGTTCAAGTCAATGCTCCCTTCTTCCGTTGGTGTTACTCCTCTCTGAATCCCCCCTTCCCCCCGAAATGTGTTTTTGGGTCCCTTATGGTCTCCTTCGGCAGGTGCTTTGGGGGAGAAGTGTCCTGGGATCGATCCGTCTGCATTGGAGCCACCTATGATGTGACTGATCCCAAGATCACCCACCAAATTGTTGACCGGCCTGGTTTGGAGCAGCAAGTGATTGGCAGGTAGGGACCATTCTTTGCCAGCTAGAATCCCTCCCAACTCCTTCCTCCAGCATCCAGTGAAAAGCTTTGAGTGAAGAAGAGTCCATTTGCGCGACGAGGGTGTTTTCCTTGCTGCCATTGGCTGCCTTTCTCTCCCACCCCCTCCTCCAGGTGCTACCTCCAGCCCCAATGGGTCTTCGACTCGGTCAACGCCAAACTGTGTCTTCCAGTGGGCAACTACTTCCCCGGCGTGGCCCTGCCGCCTCACCTCTCCCCGTTCGTCTCCGAGAAAGAGGGTGACTACATCCCACCTGAGAAGCTGAAGCTCTTGGCCTTGCAGCAGGGCAATGGTCCAGGTAATCTGCTCCTTTTCCATCCTTAAACTGAGAGGGCTTTTCTCTGGCAAGTTCTACAAGAGTGTTGTGCTGCTCTGGGATGGCAGTTCTGCTTTTTTCTCTTTGCAGGAGAAGAGAGCGAGTCAGGAGAGGAAGAGGAGGAAGGGGAAGGTGCCACCGAGAGCGAGGAGGAGGAGGATGATTCTGAGAAAGAAGATGAAGGCCGGCTGAAAAAGATGGAAGCACAGAGGTCCCAGAGCAAGGTAATGGGGGGAAAGTTGGAAAATGTGTCATCTCAGTGAGATGGTGTCGGAGACCTCCATGCATTGAAACCCAGCCCTCTTCTGTTCATCGTCAAGAGATTTTTTCAAATGGGGTTTCATTTTTCCTTTTGAGCTGATGGGTTCCACCTGAACGTTAGAAAAACTTCCTGACTGCAAAAAAGCAGTTCAACAGCCTAGCTAGCAGAAAAGGGGTTGGAGTGGATGGCCTCTGAGGGCCCCTTCCAAGCCTTTGGATTCTGGGATCCCTCTTTTTTCCTTCCCCAGAGCCTCCCAGTGAAGGTGACGGCCGGGAAGGTGTTGAAGGAGGACAAGGAGCGCCTGGCCCAGGAGGAGCAGAGCGAAGAGAAGCGCTTGGCCATCATGATGATGAAGAAGCGGGAAAAGTACCTCTACCAGAAGATCATGTTTGGAAAGAAGCGCAAGATCCGAGAGGTAGGAGGGCCACAGCCAGGGGAAGCACAGAACCCACTTGACCAGTCACAAGCTGAAAAGCATATATGTGCCAAAGAGTTTTCTTTTGGTGGTTGTGGTGGGGTTTATGGCATCAGTTCATGTCTCTCTCTCTCTTGCCATCAGGTCAAAAAACTGGCTGAGAAGCGGAAAGCGCACGACGCGGCCATTAAATCGGAGAAGAAGAAGGGCAAGAAGGCGCGGCGGGAGTAACACAGGCCTCCCCTAGGAGTCCATCCCTGATTGTCCCTGCCAGATGGACCTTTGCGACTTAGAGCAGGGCCCATTGGCACCTGTGGGTCTCTCCTCATCTCCCACCCCTTCCGCGGCCTCCAAACGGGAGCCCTGCTTTGGAAATACTTCTAGTTCAAAGGCCTCTGCTTGGACAAGCCGATCCACAGAACAGTCATTTTGAGAAGACGAAAGGTGTTTACGTTGGTTTGCACCCCTCCTTCCCTGCGTTTTGATTCCTCCCCCCTGAACAGCACCTTGACGTTGAGCCATTGTTGCCTTTGAATTGCAAGGCTTTCATGGCCGGAATCACTGGGTTGTTGTAGGGTTTTTTTCGGGCTATATGGCCATGTTCTAGAGGCATTTTCCTGATGTTTCACCTGCATCTATGGCAAGCATCCTCAGAGGTAGTGAGGTCTGTTGGAACTAGGAAAATGGGTTTATATATCTGTGGAATGGCTGGGGTGGGGCAAGAGCTCTTCTCTGCTGAGCTAGGTGTGAATGTTTCAACTGACCACCTTCATTAGCATTTGAAGGCCTGGCTGAGTCTGGGAAAATCTTTTGTTGAGAGGTGTTAAGCTGTGCCTGGTTGTTTCCTCTCTGCTGTTTTGCTGAGAGTTTTGCTGTTTTGCCAGGCACATCTTAACACCTCTCAACAAAATATTTTCTCAGGCTCAGCCAGGCCTTCAAATGCTAATGAAGGTGGTCAGCTGAAACATTCACACCTAGCTTCAGCAGAGAAGAGCTCTGTGCCCCACCCCAGTCATTCCACAGATATATAAACCCATTTTCCTATTTCCAACAGACCTCACTACCTCTGAGGATGCTTGCCATAGATGCAGGCGAAACGTCAGGAGAGAATGCCTCTAGAACATGGCCATATAGCCCGAAAAAACCCACAAGAACCTAGTGATTCCAGCCATGAAAGCCTTCGACAATACATCTTCCAATTATTGTTTACTCTTTTATTAAACTCAAAACTTAGGGCTTCCAGCAATGTGTTTACAATTCATATTGTCATGGATTATGGCCTTTACAATTTGCTGTGTATATACATTTCCAACAATATTTTCACGATATACACACACATTTCCAACAATATTTCCATTGAGAATGTGTGTGTGTATGTGTGTATACACACACAATAATATTTCCATCATGGATGAAATATATACACACACACATTTCCAACAATATTTCCATTGAGAATGAATGAATATATGTATGTGTGTGTGTGTGTGTGTATACTCTCACATACATACACACACATACATTCATACACCCACACACAATATTTCCATCAAGGATGAAATAAATATATATACACACATACATGCACACACACATTTCCAACAATATTTCCATAGAAAATGAACTATGAAATAATGTGTGTATATATGCACACACATACACATTTCCAATAATATTTCCATCAAGGATGAATTATAAAATATATATTACATAGTTAATTCTTAATGGAAATATTGAAAATGTGTGTGTGTGTGTGTAAATATATATAACATTTCAATCAAGAATTAACTATATAACATGTTTATATATATTTCCACCGAGAATCCACATTCTCAATACCACCCGATATTAGTTTGAAAATCAGATGGTTTCATTTTTTCTTCTCAACCTAGATGATACATATATATACATCTCACTCCTATATGGTAGCCCCTGGTGGTGCAGTGCGTTAAACCCTTGTGCCAGCAGGACTGAAGACCCAACAGGTCAGAGGTTCAAATCCGGGGAGAGTGTGGATGAGCTCCCTCTGTCAGCTCCAGCTCCCCATGCAGGGACATGAGAGAAGCCTCCCACAAGGATGGTAAAACATCTGGACATCCCCAGGGCAGCGTCCTTGCAGATGGCCAATTCTCTCACACCAGAAGCAACTTGCAATTTCTCAGGTCGCTCCTGACACAAAAAAAACCCCTCCCATATAAACCGAAAAGCTTTCTTTTTTTCATATCTGTGTTAATGGGGGTAGCTGATGAGTACAATATTGTATAAGAATGGCTAGAAAACAGCTTGAAGATGTCTGGAGAAGCCCAACATCAATCTTTGGGTTGCCCTCCGCTGCAAAGCCATGCAAGTCCATTCAAGGTCGATCTTCCCCTTAACATTGGGCTTAATGGGACTCCAGGGAGCATAACGGCGAGTTAATGAATAAGCGAGTTAATGAATTAGCCATGGGATTTTTTTTTAAATCCAGTGTATTGGTTTCTTCCAAGTGAGTGAAGCACATGCTTGGATTTTGGGAAACAAACTTTAAATCCTCTCAATGGTCGTGAAACGTAACATCAGGCCATGCAATGGTAAAGTTGGGAGGAAAGGGAAAGGGGAGCCTATTGAAGGTTGATCTGCACTCTTGGGGAAGCGGAACCTGCCTCTGGACAGCTCTAGTAAGAAAACCCCATCGATTCAAATAGGCTCCGGAACTGTCGAGAGTTCTGTGGTCCGTTGGATCCGTTATGCGAGCTGCACTGAGCCAAGCATTCAAACCAGAACTGTTTCAAGGATGATGGTTTCTACATCTGAACTCCTCTGGCAGTGATTTGGAGTCCTTGTTTCTGGGGGAGGAAAGGCAGAAGACGACTTTTCAGGGTAATGGCCTAGAATGATGACTTCTAGTCTTGGTCTCCTCTCTCTCATGCATTGTGATAAGAATGACTCCAAATGAAGCTGAAAAGGGCAGCCCCCCAAATCCTTTCTTGTCTACCAGTAGTCTCAGTCGAGAATGGAATCCGTTATTATTATTACTAATATTATAGATTTTCATTCATTATTAACTAATAATAATAGCTGGGCCGAGCCGGGGGGATTGCCATTCATTTGAGAATGGGAGCAGGTATCATTTAAAATAATAATAAGACATATGTATTGTAGAATGGAATCTGTTATGTTTTTTTCATTAATTATTAACTAATAATAGTAATAGCTGGGCCAAGCAGGGGGGATTGCCATTCATTTGAGAACGACAGCAGTTGTTGTTGTTGTTATTATTATTAGACGATACGGGGGGGAAATGGAAGGAAAAAGGATGAGGGGCCAACTAAGGGCAAGATGGATGTATCCTTGAAGTGACTGGCTTGACTCTGAAGGAGCTGGGGGTGGTGATTGCTGACAGGGAGCTCTGACATGGGCTGGTCCATGAGGTCATGAAGAGTCGGAAGCAAATGAACGAATAAACAATATTATTATTACTACAAGATCTGCTGCCATGCTCCAACGAATGTCTCGACCCCACCACTGAAATGCTCATCTTGTATTCCAAATGTCTCTGAACCCATCCAGAATGTAAGCGCTTTCAGCGATGGCACCCTGATTGGGCCTCCTTGTGCCTCACAATGGTGCCCCCCTTTCCCTCTGTGACCCGTCAAGGTGGTGTGAGCCCTGCCATACTCCTTGGGGCCCACTGGGCGCCAGCTGGCACGGCCAGGGAGATGGCGTTGTTGCTGCTGGTGCCGCTAGGCCGCAGGCCCCTGCACGCCCACTCTGAGGTAACTTCCAGCGTTGCCACGGCGAGGGCACCATCTTTGGCATCCCGTTCCTGGATTTCACGTGAGGATCGGGCACCAAAGGCCCCAGGATGGGTTGGCAAGGGCACAAGGTGAAGCTCCCAAAGGTGCTGCCAGCGTGCCAGTTATGATCACTTCAATGTCCTTTCCCCCTCCATTTTTATAGTGTCTTTCCTTCCTTCCCCTGGCAGAAGCAGCACTACCGGTCGGCCCTGAGAGGAAAACATGGCGCTTGCTTTGAGACGCCTGCATGGAAAGGGTTTACCATTGGATTGGCAACCTTGCATTTGTTCAATCTGTGTTCTTTTTTTACTTCCTAGCTCCCAACACACTTCCTCCAGCAAGGCAGACCGGCCTGTGCCAATGGTTCCCTGACCACGTCCAAGGTAATGGCACATTTGGGAGGAAATGCTGGAATTTCAGCGCCCATTTTGGCACAGGTGGTGAGGCTTTGGCTCGATCCATCAACCTCCCAATGAGTTTCAATGGGACCAAAGTTGGACTTGGGTGGGATCCGGTGCTGGTGAAAGATTGCTAGGCGGCAGCAGGGATCATGTTCTGTGCCCGCTTGCCCTGAGGTGGGCTCTGCTCTCCGGCAGCACCCACCGCATCAGGCTCAGGCCGGATTCTTGGCTGGCCACAAACCGCTCCTTTCAGTCCCACAGAGCCTGGGCTGGCGGAGGGTTGGCACTGGGCACCAGCCGATCTGATTAGGAAGCATGTGCCCAGCTGAACCAAGCGGGGAGGGCAGGCCCAGATCCAACCTGCCAGCCATCTAGCCATCTCTCTTGCAACATATCCAGAGGCCTGTCTATCTGTCTATTAATCTGAAACCTAGCAATCTTTCTATCTATTGACCGGCCTACCTATTTTTCTACCTATCTAGAGGCCTGCCTGCCTGCCTGCCTGCCTGCCTGCCTGCCTGCCTGCCTGCCTGCCTGCCTGCCTGCCTGCCTATCTATCTATCTATCTATCTATCTATCTATCTATCTATCTATCTATCTATCTATCTATCTATCTATCTATCTATCTATCTATCTAGAGTCATATCTATCTATATATCTAGTGACTGCTCTATCTATCCATCCATCCATCTATTTGGATTCTTGTCTATCTGAGCCCTATCTATCTATCTGAGTCATATCTATCTTTATATCTAGAGATCAATCTGTCTGTCTGTCTGTCGATCTATCTGTCTGTCTGTCTATCTGGATTCCTGTATTTCTGTCTATCTACGGACCGATCTTTCTATCTTTTTATCTATCTATAGACCTATCTATCTGTCCACACACCTCTCTGTCTAGAGATCTATCTATTTTCCTATCTAGGGCTGGATCTGCACTTGCCTCCATCCCAGGATCCGGTACCAGGTTATCTGCTTTGAACTGGATTGGATGAGTCTGCACTGCCAGATAAATTGGGATCATATTCTGGGATGGAGGCCAGTGTCGATCCAGCCTGCCTCCTTACTTGTCTATCTATCGATCGTTCCATCCCCATTTTCTTGGGAGGCAAGTGGTTTCTTTTGGCGACGAGAGCAGAGATGTGTAGAGAGGTCTCTTAATGTTACTTGTAATTTGGCTGTGGCTGGGATGTTTAACGTGGTTGTATTGCCCATTTTAATAGTAGCTATTGCTGCGTTTTATTGAGTATTTTATTTAAATTGAGTTGGGCTTTTTATCTTTTGTACGTGTTGTTTTATGTCAATTGATATTGTTACTGTTTAAATGTTGATGTTATTTTACTTGTATTTTGTGTGTTTTGATGACACGATTATGTGCTCTTCTGTAACCCGCCCTGAGTCCCTTCTGGGAGATGGTGGCAGGATACAAATCAAGTTGTTATTATTATGACTATGATTCTCCAAGGCTCCCAAGATGAGGGCTGCTCCCCCTATGCAGAGGCCGCCTTGGATGCCAAGCCCGGTCCCATGCCACCCGCACCGTGCCACTGCTCCTGCCTGGCGGAGGAAGGCTGAAGCTGGTGCCTTTCTCCTGCAAAGCCTTTGCTGGCTCCCAGGGCTTTTTTCCAAGGTGCAGCTTTTCCTTGAGGTCTGGCTGGATTCTGCTGCTCCTAGTAGGAGCAGCAAGGCCAGGAAACTTGATTCTGCCCCTGGGACAATGTCTTTTGTTGATGCCAGCGCTGCCCTATCGGTACAAACAGTGGCGTTGTTCTCCTGCTGAGTTGGGAGCCTGGTCAATGAAGGCTTTGTGTCGTAGAAAGTGGGAGGAGAAATCGAGTTGGAGGCTCGCTTGGCAGTGGCCGAAATCCAGTCCCTGGGTATTCTCCACCGGGGGGAGAGAGCTGGTGAGGGCACCTGGGTGGCAAGGGGCCTCCAAGGTGGCTGAGGCTTTTGGGGCTGCAGGGGTCAAACTGCTCGGAAAGAGTCTGTTCCATGTCGGAGGAGCATCCTCAAGGTTTCCTGGCAAACGTGGCTTGGGTACCAGCAGGGCAAGAGGAGGTGGGCAGGACGGCACTTGAACCACGGGAAAGGTAACGTACGATGCCAAGGGGTCCCTCTGTACTGCCGCTGTTGCCAGAACTGTATTCGACGTGGGAACAGAAGGCATGCCAATCTGCATGACAGTCAGGGGGATGCACCCAATCCACTACAATTATTGGTCATGTTTCTGGGTCCGTGCTGCCATCGTGGATGCCCTTGTATTACATTCGATGCATGCACGGCTTGAAAGGCAAAACTCCACACATTTTGCCTAGCGGGTATGGAAGAAAGTTTTGGACAAGTTGCTTTTCTCTCTTGCAAAGTGTGCCAACCTCCAAGGGAGACTGTGCAAGCGCGAAACTGCTCTTCACCTGGTTAAAATGCCCAGGTACCAAGTATCAGCCTGAATAGTCTCAGCGTTGTACAATATTGGTTGCCGTCTGTTAAGCGTAACTGAGATCAGATCTTTTTGAGGCACGAAAAAAAAGTAGGCCAAAAGTACCCATTGGTTTTTTTCTGTGCCATTTTGGGCAAAGGCAGCTTCTCTACCATTCCATTTGCAAGTCACAACCTGGAGACCCCTGGTGCTGTGGGAGCATTTCTTGCTTACTCCCCAGGTGCAGTAATTATTAACCACAGGCTGAATGCAAAGTCAATATTCAGGAGGGCCATGCCAAAAGTAAAGGGAAAGCCCAGCCCTAGCATTGTTAGATTTATAGATTTTCCAGGCCAAAACACCCTGCTTGGGAGTGCTCAAGCCTTCTCCAAGTTAATTGAGCATGAACAGGAACTCAGGCTGTTTGTCATCAGTGGGCCTGGCTCATTTCATTGGCAAGTGGGGCCTCACCCTCCCGTCTTCATACACCTCCACCAGAATGGGGAATAGTGCCATCCTTCCATCCATCCCGACAAGGAAGGTTTTCAAGCAGATGCTAGGGCAATGTTTTTGTGGCCCAACAGGTGCCAAGGCTGGGAGCAGAGCCTTTTTAGGGGAGCTCTTTCAGCCAGAGGTCCAGGAGGCATTTCCCTTCTGATGCCAAGCCAAGGGCCTTACGTCCAGTTTCTCCTTCTCAGACAAACCAGGCAAAATGGCCAAAGGTCTTAGATGGGCCCTGGAGTTGGCAAAGAACAGTATATGGACATTGACTAGGAGAGGAGCGTTTGAAGCAGGGCTGAAGGCCCACGCTGAATGCCCTTGGACTTCTCTTCATCCCCTGTGCCAGTGCCCACCCAGGTGCCAGGCAGAGCAAGAGATGCCCCCAAATGCCCAGTGCCAGGCATTATTGCCTATATACCGGCAATAATAATAAGACTTTATTTATAACCCGCTCTCTTCCCGAAGGGCGGTTTCCAAAAGATAACAGAAATGTCGAACATTCAATGCCCAAGAACAATCAAACAACAATTAAAGTAAAACAAGGAATAAAATAAACTCACCATAACTTATAAAACAACTGAAAGCAAGGGTTAGACTAAATACACATAATAAGCACAAGGAGTCAGACCAATTAAAACACCAGACATTAAAAGCGTAGTATAATCTATGACATCTGTGGGCTGAGGCAAGTACTTCTCCCCAGCTTCTCCTTGGCTTTCTCTGCTGCTCAGGAGGCCTTTGGAGGCAGGCACGTTGAATGCCAGAGAGAAGGGCGTCTTGTTACCCAGCCGGAGATTGCTTGACCCTTTCCATTCATTATTCATGGCGATGGTAATCTCAGCTGCAGGACGCAGTCAGCTGTGATGGGGAGGGGCCCAGCGGAAGGGAGGCTTGCTCTCACTCGGTACCCCAGAGGATGCAGGTATCCAGGTAGACACTCTCGGCCCTGGTTGGCCACATCAGGCCTTTGGGGGGACTTTCCGTTCCTTCAGCAGAGCTGCAAGATGCCCTGGGATGTGCCGGCTTGACAAAGGGTTTGCCCCAGGTTTGAATCCTGACTGGAAAACTTCTGGGTGACCACAGGCGAGTCACACTCTCTCAGCCTCGGAAGGAGAGCAAAGGCAAATCCAAACCTTGCCAGCGGGAAGGTGGCCTGCAAGCGCCAGGCCCTCATTGGCCACCCATGGAGCCTTGAAGACCCTTCCCCAAGCATTTCTTGCTGTGTGTTGGTTCTGAATTGCCTTGGGTTTTGCTGGCCCAGGTGCCAAAGAACCATGTTCCAAACCAGAGGTTTGTAACAGTGGTTTGCTTTGGCTTGATCCTGCTGGGAAGAGCCCCCTTCCTTTCCTGAAGACAAACCTCTATACCAGTGTTTCTCAACCTTCCTAATGCCGCGAGCCCTTAATACACTACCTCATGTTGTGGTGACCCCCAACCATAACATTATTCTCATTGCTACTTCATAACTGTAATTTTGCTAATGATATGAATCACAATGTAAATATCTGATATGCAGGATGTATTTTCATTCACTGGACCAAATTTGGCATAAAAACCCGATATGCCCAAATTTGAATACTGGTGGGTTGCACTGGTTTTGTCATTTGGGAATTTTAGTTGCTGGGATTTATAGTTCACCTACAATCAAAGAGCATTCTGAACTCCCAGCAATGATGGAACTGAAGCAATGTTGGCACACAGAACTCCCATAACCAACAGAAAATACTGGAAAGGTTTGGTGAGCATTGAACTTGAATTTTGGAGTTGTAGTTCACCTACCTCCAGAGAGCACTGTGGACTCAAACAATGATGGATCTGGGCCAAACTTGGCCCAAATGTAAAGACTGGTGGAGTTTGGGGAAAATAGACCTTGACATTTGGGAGTTGTAGTTGCTGGGATTTATAGTTCACCTACAATCAAAGAGCATTCTGAACCCTGCTAATGATAGAACTGGACCAAACTTCCCACACAGAACCCCCATGACCAACAGAAAATACTGTGTTTTCTGATGGTCTTTGGTGACCCCTCTGACACCCCTTTGTGACCCCCCCAGGGGTCCCAACCCCCAGGTTGAGAAACGCTGCTCTACTCCCAACTCAAGAATGGGAAACGTAATGTTGGTGGACAGGAAAAGAGATTTAAAGATGGGCTTAAAGCCAACCTTAAAAACTGTGGCATAGACTTCGAGAACTGGGAAGCCCTTGAGCACTCTCACTAGAGGTCAGCTGTGACCAGCAGTGCTGCAGAATTCAAAGAGACACGAATTGGGGGGAGAGGGGGGAGAGGGGTGAAAGGGAGAAATGTTCCAAGAGAAAGACGGGTCAAGCCAATCCTGACCGGGACCATCTTCCACCTCGAAACCGATGTCCTCACTGCAGGAAAACATGTGGATCAAGAATAGGTCTCCGCAGCCACCTATGGACCCACCGCCAAGATAATACACTTGGAGGACCATCATCCTTAGGCATCCCTTTGTGACCTCCCCCTGGGGTCCCGACCCCCAGGTTGAGAAACGCTGTCCTATGACCTCTTGAACTCCACACGCAGCACTGGGAGGACATCTCCATGCTTCCTTTTCACATTGTTTTTCAAATGTTCGGCGGGGCGGGGGGAGCATACTGGGTCTTTGTGATATATCTGTTTGACAAGACAGACAAGACAGAGGTCCTCCTGGTCAGTTGTGGGGCAGATCGGTGTATAGGATAGCAATCTGTTCTCGATGGGGTTACACTCCACCTGAGGACCCAGGTCTGCAGTCTGGGGGTCCTCCTGGACTCAGCGCCGACACTTGAAGCTCAGGTGTCAGCAGTGGGCCAGCTGCTGCGCCAGCTGCAACCGTACCTCGAAAAGCCTGACTTGGCCATGGTGGTCCATGCCTTAAATTACATCTCGCGTGGATTACTGCAGTTAGATTAGATGAAGAGAAATTACTACCAGACTGCTGATTAGATAGTATAAATGCACTCAGGCCTTGTTAGATCACATTCGCCCATTTAACAACTTTGGCCATATAATCTATGCACACATCTGTGAACCTTCGTGTTGTTTTGATATATTAATTTGGATGTTGTATATTCATGTTCTATGTTAGTTAGACTTTTCAATTGATTGTGTTGTATTTAAACAATCGTTGCTACACTTATGTTGATCTTTATGTGGGGTTATTTTGGGTTATTATATTTGTATTTACTGTTATTGAGGCATTGAATGTTTGCCTTTTTGTTTGTTGGAATCTGCCCTGAGCCCCCCTGGGGAGATAGGGTGCAATATAAATAAAGATTATTATTATTATTATTATTATTATTATTATTATTATTATTATTATTACATAGGGTTGCCTTTGAAGACAGCACGAAAGCTACAATTAGTACAAAGATCCGCAGCCAGACTGCTGACCGGACAAGATTGTGGGGAACATACGATCCCCCTTTTAAAGGAACTCCATTGGTTGCTGATCTGCTTCCAGGCCCAATTCAAAGTAAAGGTTATCATCTACAAAGCCCTATATGGTTCACGTCCTGCCTATGTACGTAACCACATCTCTCCTTATGAACCAGTGCGAGCCCTAAGATCTGCCGGGGAGGCCCTCCTCCTGATTATGGAACGCCTTCCTCAGAGAAATTAGACAAGCACCCACTCTTATAACATTCAGGAAGTAGTTGAAAACCTGGCTTTTAATAATGGATAAAAGTATTGGCCACTGTATCGGACAGGATTGTAAATGGTTATCAGAGCTATATACGTTATATTATTGACTGTATTCATTTGCCCCCAGTGGTGCAGTGGGTTAAACTGCGCTGAACTTGCTGACTGAAAGGTCGTCGCCAGTTCGAATCCGGGGAGTGGGGCGAGCTCCCGCTGTCAGCCCCAGCTTCTGCCAAACAAGCAGTTCGAAAACATGCAAATGTGAGTAGATCAATAGTTACAGCACCAGCGGGAAGGTAACGGCACTCCATGCAGTCATGCCGGCCACATGATCTTGGAGGTGTCTACGGACAATGCTGGTTCTTCGGCTTAGAAATGGAGATGAGCACCAACCTGCAGAGTTGGACATGACTGGACTTAATGTCAGGGGAAAGCCTTTACCTAACCTTACCTATTTGTTGTTTTGTTGTAAGCCGCCCTGAGTCCCTCTGGGAGGGGGCGGGATATAAATAAAGCTTATTCAGTGGGTTAAACCGCTGAGCTGCTAAACTTGTTGACTGAAAGGACGCCAACCTAGCAGTTCGAAAACATGCAAATGTGAGTAAATCAGTAGGTACCGCTCCGGCGGTAAGGTAACGGCACTCCATGCAGTCATGCCGCCAACATGACCTTGGAGGTGTCTATGGACAACGCTGGCTCTTCGGCTTAGAAATGGAGATGAGTACCAGCCTCCAGAGTCAGACCCGACTGGACTTAATGTCAGAGGAAAACCTTTACATTTACCTATTGTTGTTGTTGTTGTTGTTGTTGTTGTTGTTGAATGGTGGGAGTGAAAGACTGGGGTCTTGAGCATCCATGCTTCTCGGTTTCCAAGGGATGCTCCCTTGCGCTTGCCCTGGCCCAAGCCTCCAGTGCTTCATGCGCTCCTCTGGACCTTTGCTTGCCTATTTGCTCTTCTCCCGCCAGGCCTGGGGAAGCCTGTCTCCTTGGCCTGAGCCGCAGAGGACGGTGCCACCGCTGCACTGCAGTCTCCGGCATGCGCTCCGCTGCTTCTGCTCCGGCAGTGCAGGCTCCCGGCAGGTGCACTTGACTTCGGCGGACTCTTTTTTGGTTGCTGATTGGGAAAGACGGCTGGCGGGGAGAGATGCTAGATTGTATGCCCGTCAGAGTCATCCTGACTCCAGGGGAGGGTTGCATGTGCTCTGGAAAGCTGGCTTTGCTTTCTGCATGCACTCCTGGCTACTGTTGGTCCCAGGAAGGCTGTCCTCATTGCTTCTAGGTAGACCAAGAGATGCAGCATGACCTCTCCGCTTAGTCAGACCTGGAATGCATGGGAAGGTTAGAAGTGCGCTGGACTCCAAGGAGGCATCCTCTCCGAGATGGATGGGAATGCAACTCTGGAACTCCTTCCTGAAAAAAACCAAAACGACCCCCTCTTTTCTCTCCTTTAAAAAACAATGAAAAAACTACCTTTGTACGCTTGCATATTGATAGAAGGAGGATTCAAAATTTACATATTGTTAATATACCAGCGACTGGAAATCGTATTATACTCTGGCTCTGTTGGTTCTGGTTTGGTCGACTTTGTTGGCTCTGCTGGGAACAAAGACATTTTGCTTCCATAACGATTTTAATAACTTTTTAAAATTGTGGTTATTAAATTATGTTATTGTTTCATTTTTAATTAAGTTTGCCTTAGATGTTTGTTTATGTTGGCTTATTTTGGGAACAAATTGTTTGGTTATTTGTGTTTGTTTTGCTGAATGTATTCTGGTATTGAGTGTTTTGTTGGAATCCACCCTGAGTCCCCTTGGGGAGATAGGGTGGAATAAATATAAAATGCATTTACTTACTTACTGAGGCGATTCCTCCTTGTCCGAGTAGGATTGTCCCCCAAGGTCAGTGTACTGGCGGTGGGTCCATAGACCTATTCTTGATTTACATGTTCTCCCGCAGTGAGGGCATTGGTTTCCAGGTGGAAGGCGGTCCCAGTCGGGGTTGGCTTGAGGCACCTTCCTCTTGGCACGTTTCTCTCTTTCACCCTCCATTCGTGCCTCTTCAAATTCTACAGCACTGTTAGTCACAGCTGACCTCCAGCTGGAGCGCTCAAGGGTCAGGGCTTCCCAGTTCCCAGTGTCTATGCAAGAGTTTTTAATGTTGGCTTTGAGACCATCTTTAAATCTCTTTTCCTGGCCACCCACATTCCGTTTTCCATTCTTGAGTTCGGAGTAGAGCAACTGCAATGGGAGACAGTGGTCGGGCATCCGGACAACGTTGATGGTGGAGGACCATCGCTTCAGTGCTGGTGGTCTTTGTTTCTTCCAGCACGCTGACACTTGTCCGCTTGTCTTCCCAATATATTTGCAGGATTTTTCAGAGGCAACACTGATGGAATCGTTCTAGGAGTTGCATGTTACGTCTGTAGATAGTCTCGCAGGTGTATAGCAGGGTTGGGAGGACAATCGCTTTATAAACAAGCACCTTGGTCTCCCTATGGATGTCCCGATCATCAAACACTCTCTGCTTCATTTGGGGGAAATGCTTCACCCGCAGAGCTCAGGCAGTGTTGTATTTCAGTGTCAATGTTGACTTTTGTGGAGAGATGGCTGCCAAGGAAGCAGAAATGGTCAGCATTTTCTAGTGTTACACCATTAAGCTGTATTTCTGGCATTGGAGAGGGATTGGCTGGTGACTGCTATTATTACTATTTATTAAAATATTACTATTTATTATTTATTATGTATTACTATTTATCAAAAGTATCCCTACCGTGGGGTTTTCCCTACTATTTGGAATTGCATGTTCCTCCACACCAGGCATGGGCCAACTTGGGCCCTCCCTCCAAGTGTTTTGGACTTCAACTCCCACAATTCCTAACAGCCTCAAGCCCCTTCCTTTTTCCTTTCCTTTTTTGCTTAAGCGGCAGAGAGGAGAAAGTAAAGGCCCGAGGCTGTTAGATATGGTGGGAGTTGAAGTCCAAAACACCTGGAAGGAGGGCCCAAATTTTCCCATGACTACTCCACACCATCTCGGATGCTTCCCCCATGACCCTCGAGGTCATTGAGTCCCCTTGAGGAGATAGGGCAGGTTATAAACAAAGTATTATTATATTGTATTGTCGAAGGCTTTCATGGCCAAAATCACTGGGTTATTATAAGTTTTTCAGGTTGTATGGCCATGTTCCAGAAGCATTTTCTCCTGATGTTTCACCTGCAACTATGGCAGGCAACCTCAGAGGTTGTGAGGTCTGTTGGAAACTACAAAACGGTGTTTATATATCTGGAATGACCAGGGTGGGAGAAAGAACTCTTGTCTGTTGGAGGTTGGTGTGATTGTTACAATTGGCCACCTTGAATAGCATTTAATGGCCTAGCAGTTTCAAGGTGTTGTTTCTTACTGCCTGGGGGAATCCTTTGTTGAGAGGTGATTAGCTGTCCCAGCTCTCTACCCTTCCTGCTGCCATTCCTAATTGCGCATTCTGCTAGAAAACACTCTGTCTCCTTGGGGAGATTAGGGAGACAGGGTGGAGTACAAATGAAGTTTATGATTATATATTAAAAGCATCCCCACCTAATACCTAAAGACCCACCCTCAACTCTCCACCCTTCCTGCTGCTGTCCCTTATTGCTTCTCTTATGGCTAGGCATTTTTTACTGTCTTTTTCCTCCGACTCTGCTTGCAGGTGATGGCCATGCTGCCCCAGGGGAAGAACTGGCGTTCCATGGGCAAGGGCCTGGTGCTGGGCACCCTCTTGACCAGCTTCATGCTGCTGCTCTACTCCTACGCCATCTCGCCCTTGCAAGTCAGCATGACAGAGTGAGTGAGCTGGGCATGAACTAAAACTTGGGATGGAAGAAGTGGCGACCTCTCCCTTTGGGAGGGAGGTTAATGTACCCTTGCCTGAAAACTCCTCGCAAGTAGAACAGCAGTGCCGCAGGACAGGAGAGGGGAAGGGTCTCCCTGAGGGGCTGGTGTCCTGCTTCAAGGTGTTCGTGAGCCCCGTGAACTGCCTCATTGCAACCCCATTGCAACTTGGGCAGCTTGTAATGGGAGACATGGTTCTTTAGACAGTAAGGGCCTCCTCAATTACGGGAACAATTATGGGAACAAAGACATTTTAAAAACTTATTAATACAGGTTAAAGTAAACTACCATATTTTCTGGCATATAAGACGATTGGGCGTATAAGACAACCCCAACTTTTCCAGCTAAAATATAGAGTTTGGGATATACTCACTGTATAAGACTACCCCTCTTCCAACACACACCAAATAAAAATGTAAAAAACATCAGATTTTATTTCAATATGGTAATTTTCCTATTACTGTACCTCCTTCTCTGCCTCTCAGATCTCGCACATGCACACCTGCACCACTCCACTGCAGTCTTCAAGAGCAAGATCTGAGAGGCAGAGGAGGAGGTACGGTAATAGGATACAAGGGCGGGCCAGACAGGAAAAAGAGGTGTGTTTGTCTGGGCCCAGAGCCACTCTATCTCTTTTTTCCATACCCCGGGCGCCCCGGACACCTGCAGCTTGCTCCGCCCTTCACTTACACCTTCCCGGTGAGGCGCCCCTTCACCTCACCATCGGACCGCATTAAGTCCACAAATCCTGATGAATGGATTTTCTTCTACCGTACTTGTACAGCGTCACCCTTAATGCTTTCATACAGTCGCTGCATACAGCAGGGATGTGGCCACTGCCATTTTTGAGCTCCCCCCACCATATGCAGCAACCAAAGATTCTCCAATCCAGGATTGGAAGTTTCAGCACCCACTCTATAAGACGACTCCTGGAGTATAAGACCATTCCCACATATAAGACAACTCCCATGCATAAGGCTACTCCAGCGTATAAGACGACTCCAGCGTATAAGACAATGCCTGACTTTTGAAAAGATTTTCTTGGGTTAAAAAGTAGTCTTATATGCCAGAAAATACGGTATTAAAAATTGAAATGGAAATGGTATCTTAACACCAGTAAAAATATCTAATATTAACAAAAATACTCAAAAACCTGCTAGAGAGGATGTCAAGAAGTGGGAACATATATAATATGTGGTAACAATGTAAATATGTAAGCAATTTTGGGGGGAAAGTATTTAGAGAAATAGAAGATATCATAAATATGAAAATGGAAAGAGGTCTTTGTGTTGCTTTGTTATCATTGTATAAAAATAAACAGTGGAAAAAACAAGAAAAAGACATAATATCCAACCTATCAACAGTGGCAAGGTGCTTATAGCAAAGAACTGGAAAAGGGAAATAAACATACAAATTGAAGAATGATACGAGGAATTATGGAAACTGGCAATAAATGATAAGTTGACATGCAAGTTAAAATAATAATAAAAGTTAAAAGAGGAATATGGAAAAATGATTTTGATGAAATCTGGAGAAAATTTATTGAATGAGGATTCAAAAAGAAGGGTGGAAAGTTACCTCCACAAGAGGAAATGAAATTTTGGATAGAAAATATAAAAAGAAGTGGCTCAGGGGAGAGAGCAGGGCACTAAAGTGAAGGATAGAAATGTACATGTAAGAGTGGAATTTACTGTAGATATAATGAGATTATGCACTTTGGATATTAGATGTCTGCTGTAGTATAAATGTGTTGAATTATTTTATTATATAAAATAGGGCATCTTCAATGCATTCCTCAAACAGTAGGGAGGGTTAGACTAGATGCCCCTTGCAGTCCCTTTTAACCCTGCAATTCCCTTTCTGAGAGCACTGGGTTGGAGAATTCTAGGAAACACCTAAACCTGCATCCTAGGAGATGGATGTCACTGAATTTCAACTTGTCTAGGATGGAGCTGCTTCTGCTCTGGAGGCAGGAGCCCATTTCACCTCGACAATTGTCTAATTTGACCAAAGTATAGTCTTAGAGTCCCACATGTGAACACTCAATGATTCAATGCTTGGAAGGCATAGTTTGGGAAAGGACCGGGAGCATTCTTTTGTTCTGATGCAAGGAGTCTTGACCCTTGGCCTTTCTTTTCCAGGACCCCCATCCCCTCCGCTTGCTCTTCCTTCCGTGCCCCAGCCCACCTGCTGTCCTCATCCAATGTGAGCCGCAGCCTGCCAGGTCGCAGGTGCCTCCCCAAACGGGACATCATGTTCATGAAGACGCACAAGACAGCCAGCAGCACCATCCTCAACATCCTCTTCCGCTTTGGGGAGAAGCACCGTCTCAAGTTTGCCTTCCCAAATGGCCGCAACGACTTCTACTACCCATCCTTCTTTGAGCGCAGCCAGGTGCGGGACTACCGCCCGGGCATGTGCTTCAACGTCATCTGCAACCACATGCGCTTCCAGTATGATGAGGTGCGCAAGCTGCTGCCAGCTGGCGCCACCTTCGTAACAGTACTGCGGGACCCAGCATACCTCTTTGAGTCCTCCTTCCACTACTTCGGGCGCGTCATTCCCTTGACCTGGAAACTCTCTGGGGAGGACAAGCTGGCCGAGTTCCTGCGGGACCCCTGGCGCTACTATGACCCCAACGGCTTCAATGCTCACTACCTGCAGAACCTCCTCTTCTTTGACCTGGGCTACGATAACACCCTGAACCCCAACAGCCCTCGGGTGGAGCAGTCCATCCAAGAGATCGACCAGCGCTTCCACTTGGTCATGCTGCTGGAGTACTTTGACGAGTCCCTGGTGCTTCTCAAAGACTTGCTTTGCTGGGATCTGGAAGATGTCCTCTACTTCAAACTCAATGCCCGGAAGGACTCCACGGTATCACGTTTGACGGACGAGCTCTACCAGAAGGCCACCGCCTGGAACCTCATCGACGCCAAGCTCTACCGGCACTTTAACGCCACATTCTGGCGCAAGGTGGATGCCTACGGAAGGGAACGCATGGCCGAGGATGTGGCTCGCCTGCAGGAGGAGAACGAGAAGATGACCCGCATCTGCATTGACGGGGGCCGCCCCGTGGACGCCAACGCCATCCAGGAGTCCGCCATGCAGCCCTGGCAGCCCCTGGGTGAGAAGTCCATCCTGGGTTACAACCTCAAGAAGCGCATCCACAAGAAGCACCGGAAGCTGTGCCGCAAGATGCTGACCCCCGAGATCCAATACCTGACAGACTTAGGAGTTAACCTGTGGATCACGAAGCTCTGGAGCCGAGTGCGGGAGTTCCTCAAGTGGTAGGTGTGGGTGGCGGCCCCTCTCCCTTACCCACCACGAGAACTGCCTGGTGCTTATCCTTCCAATTCCCCTTCTCTTCCTTCCTTCAATCCTTCCTCATATATTTTGGGGGTCGGCCATGTTGTCATCGTGCCACCCGAGAGCATGCCGACTGGTTTCAACACCAGGCCGAGTCGACAGAAGACTAGAGCGGCTGAGAAACTAAAGATCTCCTCATCGCCTCGGCAAAGGCCCTTGTGTGAGCTTGATGCCATGCCGATTCTGAGTGGGAACACTAAAGAGCAGAGCAAACAATAACAGACCACGACACCAAGAAAAACTCCGTGGTTGTCCGCAGTATTCTCTCGTCCCTTTTTTCCGCCTCTTCTGTTTCCAGTGTTTGTAGACAGACAAACAGTTTCCTTATTTCTCTATCCGTGCGATTGTTAAGCAACGGCGAGCATCCGAGGGTTGCGGAGAGGGTTATCCTTGGTCGGGAGCATGTTCCTTAATAACTGTTCAATATGGGCATAACTCCATCACAAACTTAGATTGTTATAAAACCATTCTACGTTCCCAGTGTAGACACATGGGAATGGATAAGCCGTAACTGTTTGCCTGTCAGTCTCCTTTGTATGTCAACCCTTCTAAAAGTGTTATCCCTCCCCCCCCCCCCCCGATGTGTTGTTAATGCCTAAGACCAAACTGATACAGTATTTCGCTGCAAACTTGGAGAAGGCACCCTTTTTGGGAAAACAACTCCCCAAAGGAGGGTTTTCCGGGAGATGTAATCCAAAAAGAGATGCCTTTTCCCAGTTCTGGTTGAGAAAGAGTGCGTTACCGAGTGCGTTCTCCGATTTCTGTGGGTCCAGAATGGAAGGGGCCACCCCAAGGGATTTGCACTCATGGGATGCTCTATGGAGAACTTGGAAAAACATAGACAACCCATCCTTCCTAGTATGCAGCGTAGGAATGCCGAGGCTGTTCTAAGGCATTTCCCTCTTGTTCCAAAAGAGATGCCTTTTGCTGAGAATAAATAGGTGTGCGGCCAGCTCTTACGAAGCCTGTTTCGTTTTAATCACATTCTGGTGCTTACCAATTTCCGATCCTGAACCGTCTTGTCAAACACCGGTGAAGACCACTTGTTTGTGCGGTCCACCGTTTCTCCTCTCTAAGCCGCCACTCCTTTCTCGTTTCTAGATGTGTGACGTAATTTATTTCTCATGGTTATAAGCGTTTGTTTTATTTATTCGTAAACTGTTTCAGCATAAACGGATTGGAGACGGAATATGTACCTTACCTTTGAGTCTCTACCAACAACCCAGTTAGATGAAACTGTACTATAGATATAGTATTAGACAAATATATGTATATATCTAGGAACAAAGATCCAAAGTCTTGCCTATTTGTGTGTGCTATACACCCCAATATCCAGTGGGTACGGTCTACCGACGAGCATAACGCAATATGGAAACCCTGTCGAATTGACATCTGGGTCCCAAATTGTCTTCTTCCAAACTTGGCCTTTCCTGGCTGAAACCCGTGGTTTGAGGATCCCAGAATATCCCTCTTTGGACATGAATGATAGGATCTGGTGAGGACCAGAGTATGGGGGGGGGGGGCACTGAAGGCATGAAAGGGGGAAAGCCATAGATAGACACCCTGACATTTGCAGTACCATGTCAACAAGGGAAGGCTATCAGTGCCTCCACTCCCTCATTCCTTCCCCCTTTTGACAGTGTTTGCCCCAATGTTCCATCTTCTTCATGTGTCCAAATAAAATAAAATAAAAAGTTCACTGCAATGTTGTAAAATAAATTATACTGTATATCGGACTGGTTTTTTTTAATACAGAAGTTTTGTTTCACTGTTTCCCAGCCTTGCCTCCATTTCTTCTTGGGGTGGAAGGGGAAAGAGCAAAGGTCAGCTTCAAAGCCTTATGATGGGTCCTGGATGCTCATTTCGGAAGCTAAAGTTGGGACTTAGATGGGAGGCCGAACAAGGAATAGCTCTGGAGATTCCTCTATGGCATTGAAGGGTGGACATTGGCACTCCGGTTAATGCGGTGGTTCCCAACCCTTTTTTGACCAGGGTCCACTTTGATTAGGGACCACTCTCCAACATTAGCACCAAAAGGGTTAGGAATCGGTTTTTGGTCAACTTTAGATTTGATTTGGTCATTTGGGGTGTTGCTTCAGAAAATAGCATTGGATAGACCACATCAGCTCTAGTTTCTGATACAGAACATATGCTATCTAGTAGTTGCCATCTGCTCGCCCAAAGAAAACCATATTTAATAATCTAGAGTTGATGTAGTAGTAGTAATCTTTCATGGGTAGTCAGTCTCTCCCCTCCCAACATCTCTGTTGCTTCAGCACTATAAGAGGGCTTCGCGAGACCAGTCGCTCAAGTTGCTGCGTGGTTTTGAGGAAGCGGTGCAATAATTGTGAGGCCGCGGCCCATGTTGTCGTTCTTGTGGGCCATTGGTGGTCCAGGGACCACAGGTTGGGTCGACAGCAGTACATGTGAAAAAGATCTTGGAGTCCTTGTGGACAACACATTAAACATGAGCCAACAATGTGATGCTGCAGCTAAAAAGCCAATGGGATTTTGGCCTGCATCAATAGGAGTCTAGATCCAGGGAGGTCGTGCTCCCCTCTATTCTGCCTTGGTTACACCACACCTGGAATAAGTGTCCGATTTTGGGCACCATAATTGAAGAGAGATATTGACAAGCTGGAATGTGTCCAGAGGAGGGCAACTAAGATGAACAAGGATTTGGAGAATAAGTCCAATGAGGAGCAACTTAAAGAGCTGGGCATGTTTATCCTGCAGAAGAGAAGGCTGAGAGGAGACACGATAGCCATGTATAAATATGTGAGGGGAAATCATAGGGAGGAGGGAGCAAGCTTGTTTTCTGCTGCCCTGAGACTAGTATGCAGAGCAATGGCTTCAAACTACCGTAAAGGAGATTCCATCAGAACATTAGGAAGAACCAAGGCAAGGCAAGGTAAGGCAAGGCTATCGTTGGATAACACGAAACCCCTCCGAGCACAGAGCAGAAGACCTCCAGGACCTTCTTCCTTCTTTAGGTGGGAACTCTTGAACAATTTCAACTGTCCCATCTGCCAGTGCTGCAATCCGGTGTGCCAACCACCAAGCTTTCGGTGCAAGCAGAACCTCAAAGGTACAGTGCCCATTCAGGCTGAATTGGGGCCCATTATCCCTTCTCCATCCAGCCTCCAAGTTCTCCCCTCTCATGCTGCTTCAGAAATGGGGGTGGGACAGGTGACCGTTCAGAGACAGTCTCTGAACGCCGGACATTACGAGAGGGTTGTCAACAGCTCCTTTGCCCTCTGGTGAGTGGACAGACTTGTCATCACTTTTTTAAAGAAAGGTTCTTTTTATTGCCATTTCAGTGTGAGAGGGTATATCAGAACTTTTGCACTTTTACTCAAAGAACAACATTGGACATACAGACACACAGATTCTATGTTACTACATTGAATTCACAAACAACCTACAGTTTTTCCAGCCTGAACCATGTTTACTTCCTTCTTAACAGATACTGGTTTTTGGTCAGTAAATGTTGACAGATGTAAACATTTCTCTTATCACTGTCACAGTTCTTATCACACTTTACTAGAGCAGGTAAACAATTTCTCATGACAGACGTTGCTCCTTTGGAAGGTCCAACGTAAAGGACATTCCAATGAGAATCCCATTGAGGTTGGCTATAAAATCTGTAGGGGGCCAAGCGGGCATCGACATTGCCAAACAAATACCATTTGACGCACTTTCAAGGGAGGGTTCTCCAACTTTGGGGGATGACCTCTTCCATTGTTCCCATTCATGGTCCTCATGGCCTTGCTTATTGAGGTCCTGAATATGTTCTTCATATCTCTAATGTAGACCAACCTTGAATAATTATGTTCCTCAGGTACACAATGTAAATCAGCTTTGGTTGTTATGGTTCCTTTAGATGTCCCTCATGGCCTTGGTCAATGTGGTCCCTATAGATGTCCCTCGTGGCCACAATGTAGACCAACCATGGATAATATAGCTTCTCATGGGCATCATGTAGACCAGTGTTTCTCAACCTGGGGGTCAAAGGGTTTCTGAGAGGGGTTTCAGAGGGGTCACCAAAGATCATCCAAAAACACACATTTCTGATGGTCTTGGGAATCTCTTTGGCAGAGAAGGCTGAAGATCTCTCCATCTGTCCGTCTCTTCCATTTAGGAAACAGACAGTGAATCCTCACACCAAAAGCCCTCCTCCTGCTCTCTGGATGTAGGTGAACTAACACGCCAAAACTCAAGGTCAATGGCCACCAAACCCTTCCAGTATTTTCTGTTGGTCATGGGAGTTCTGTGTGCCAAGTTTGTTTCAATTCCATCATTGGTCGAGTTCAGAGTGCTGTTTGATTGTAGGTTAATATAAATCCCAACAACTACAGCTCCCAAATGACAAATTCAATCCCCACCCGCACCCCACCAGTATTCCAATTTGGGCGTATCAGGTATTTGTTCCAAATTTGGTCCAGTGAAATACATGAAAACAAAAGCCCAGCAGCTCAGCGGTTTAACCCACTGCGCCACCAGGGGTTCCTTAGGGACTTAGCATGTGGTAAACAATCCCTAGAAATGCTGATATAGTCAATGGCACTCATTTCACAGTATGTCCAGAGACGAAGGTGAATTCCACTGGGTGGTCTCCTTCCAGAGCGCCTTTTAATATGTTTAGGTTTAGCCTGGCAGTTGTTTGAGCCAGTTGTAATCCTGTAAAATTCGATTTCTGATCATTTGATTGTCGCATAAGGAGAGATAGATCATAATTGGGCTCGGGAGAGAAAATCTTATGGCGTCTATAAAGACAGAGGTCAGCGCCCATCTTTACGTTGAAGCCGCCTCCCGAAATGACAAAAGCATTTGGGTTCCGCATTATGAGATCAGCAACATCCATTTCCAGATCGGACCACTGGGCCAGATCTGTGGTTTCCTCTTCAGTGGGGATATATATACATTAACTACCAGCAGTATGTGATGTTGGAATTGGATCAACACTGCCATTGCGCTCTTTTTGGATGGAGGCCGAGTGAGAAGGGAGGTGGAGAGAACTGATTTCCCTGTGAAATGAACTCTTTCTGCATCTGGGGAGATTCAGTCGGGGTTATTGTATTGCTTAGATGTGATTTAGATTGTTCCTTCGTGTCTGAGATTCTGAGGATCTCCGCAAGGGTACTGTCATCCCTGTCAAAGGTACTCGCTATAGGTTTGCCTGTTGTCTTTCTGTCTAAGTATTGGAATTTGGTGTCTTGTTCGCGTTATTTGAGTTGTGGATATGTAATTGGGTTTGTCTAGATGGAGGGTCATACACTCTACCAGATATAAGTTCTCGAATCCATGGGTCACGGAAGACTCTAGTAATCGCAATGTGGATTGCCTGTTCCAAAGGAAGTCCTTCAGGTGTAAGAGGCGGCTGGGGATTGGGGAATTACCAAAGGTGAGAAAAACACGTTTCTCATTGGGACAGCTTGGTAAAAACATGAACTTGTATGATATTGGACTCACAAACTTTTATTATTAGAGAGTTGTCTATCTAAGAGTAGGTTTGTTTGTAATACATTTATTATATTCCTTTGGATTCTGCTTTAGGAATCATCTGTCTTTC